AAAAAAAAAAAAAAAAAAAAAAAAAAAAAAAAAAAAAAAAAAAAAAAAAAAAAAAAAAAAAAAGATTTCTGAATCATTTCTGGAATTTTCCATTTACTATTTTTGGACTGTGGTTGACTGCAGGTAACTGAAATCATGGAAAGCAAAGCCATGGATAAAGGAGAACTACTGTAAGCAAATTTCACAATAACTAGAACCTTAATTAACTTTTAGAACCAGGTACAGTAACTGTTGCATCTACCCAGGACAGGTAAAGAAGCTATTTAGAGAGACACTTAGGACTTGTAATCTGCCAAGATAGATTTGTGAGCTTTTGTTCACAAACAGGACAGACTGATATTACAAAAGAGTCCTGTTGTAACTTTCAGTCAGGAAAGCGAGCCAGCAAAGTCCTTCTAGACAGAAAGAAACATGACTCCTGTGTTAGCACAAGGTAGAAATAATAAAATGAGTAATTTGATTAAAAATTATTATTTGAATGAATCTGACAATGTTTCAGAAAGCCAGAGAGCTTTATCCACTCACAAGTTAAGCCTTGTACAAAGAGGCAGACCACTTATAAAAGTGCTGTTGTGTCAAGAAAGATGTCATTTAGAAGGAGTTAGGTTATTTAATATTCCCAGAATATTAGGAAATTACTGTTTGGTCTTAAGAGTAAATAACATCAAGGGGGCTGGGCATGGGGGCTCACATCTGTACTCCCAGCACTTTAGGAGCCTGAGGCTAGCAGATCATTTGAGGTCAGCCTCAAGAGTTCAAGACCAGCCTGGCCAACATGGCAAGACCCTATTTCTACTGAAAATACAAAAATAGCTGGGTGTGGTGGTATCTACCTGTAGTCACAGCTACTCAGGAGGCTGAGGCATAAGAATAGCTTGAACCCAAGAGACAGAGGTTGCAGTGAGCTAATATCATGCTATTGCACTCCAGCCTGGGCTACAGAGAAAGCTCTGTCAGAAAAAGGAAGGAAGGAAGGAAAAGAGGGAGGAAGGGAGGGAGGGAGGGAAAAGGAAAAGAAAAGGAAAGAAAGAAAGAGAGAGGGAGAAAGAAAGAAAAAGAAAGAAAGAAGAAAGAAAAGTAAATAATGTCAAAATCCTTCTTGACACTAATTTAATCAAAAGGTAGACAAAAGTCACATTGTCCCTCCAAGTCTCTGTTTATGATATCTGTGTCATCATGACTTGGGATTCTTACTTCATCCTTATTCCAGATTTGGGTTTTTTAAGAATTCATCCACTATAATTATTTTGCAGCCTCTCATTCCAACTTGAAAGCTACAAGATATGCTTTAAATGATAATATTTTTAAATGTTATGCTCTCAGCTGTACTTCCTGTTTTGCAGATTTAAGGAACAAATGGCACCTGGTAATTGACCGCCTCACTGTGCTCTTCTTAAAATTCCTGGAGTATTTTCACAAGCTGCAGGTGTTCATGTGGTGGATTTTGGAGTTGCACATCATCAAAATCGTTTCCTCATACATTATCTGGGTTTCTGTGAAAGAGGCAAGTGAACATTTGTCCTATCATCAGGCCGAATAGAACCACAGTAGGTCATCATTTTCTTTTTCCAGCTGTCCATGATTTTTTTAATGTAATGCCCATTACATTAGGCTATCAAGACTCTAAGATAAATACATACACTTACTGAAATCCAAGGGTCAGCGGCACTGAGAAAAAGGATAGAGACTCGTGGCTGAGTCTCTCATTGGTTTGGTTGTATTACAAAGGCTACTTATTTTCATCTAGTCCTTAGGGAAGTGTGTGAGAGCAGGCTGCCCTTCTGCCCCTGCCTATGGGATTCTATCTCCCTAAATTATCCGAGGAAAATAGCATTCCAGTTTACATTCCCAAGGAGAAAAAATAAAATCTTTGGTAGAGTTCACCTTGTTTACGATTGGATTTCTTGAGATACAACACAAAGTCTTCAGCCATGCACCTGTATTGCACTTCTGTTTCCTGGATTGTAAAGAAGAGAGTCATCATCCAGTCAACAGATCATTTAAAGTTCATTGTGGAGAAATTAGATTCTTTCCATTTATTCAGCAAATAGTGTCTGCATCCTTATATATGCCTGGACTATTTTTGAGTCGGTTACAATTCAAGGAGTGTTTGCCCTCTAAAAATTAATCAAGGAACTACTGCCTATAATCTTTAAAAAGTTATATATATAACAGTAAAATATCATAACTATAACACTGCAAACCTAAAATGTTTCACAAATAGGTATCTAACAGATGAACATTAATTTGAGCTCTGTAGTCTAAACTAGAACTTCTCCCCCAGTTCATACAAACCATCTGAAATGGACAGGGGATCATTGCCAAGTGGGAATGAAAACAGAAGCCACTGTCTCTGTGAGATTTGTGGGGGACATGGCAGCAGCTCCATTGTTAAGTCACTGGGTGTATACATTAATTGGAGCCAAAATCTAGCCTAGTATTTATATTCATTGAGAGCAAATATTTAAACATTTTAATGGTAGAGGTGAATTGAACAGTTCAAATTTGAGGATTCGAATATATAAAGAGAAATGGAAAAGAACAAGAAAAGGCATTTGACAAAAAATGCACAAAGACCATTTCTGAACAAATCCAATCTGAGGTACAGATGACTTCTGATTCATGAGAAGCTGTGCTGCAGGTGTGAAGGCATGTTCAGGCAATGTAATGATGGGAGTGGACATTAAGGGGAACGGAAATTCCTGGGAGTCGGACACAGAGAATCTGCTGTCATAAATCCATCCTGCTGTAAATACGTCCATCAGAAAAAGAACCAAAGCATTAAAGGATGCAATTTCTTATAGATTTTAAACAAAAGGCAGACATAACTTCTTCATTATCATTAATGAGTCTCCAGACATAATCTTGTTAACAGACCAGCAAGTAACAAAGGATCTAGTTACTCTAGTTAGCCTTCCGCAGAGTATAACCACTCTCTTCTCTGTGATTCATACATCGTGCAGGCTTTCAGAATTTTCATTCCTAATTTAATCTCTCTCACCTTTAACTTTAAAACAAGTGAGAGACTCATGAGCACAGAAATCCTCCTCCTTCTGCTGCTAGCATCTGCCAAATCCCATTGCTGTAAGATTGTTTCAGCCACTCGTGTTGTGCGCAACATCACCCACCTGCATGAGGGATTTCCCGCCCTGAACTTTGGTCTCTGGGCTCTTGGCAGTGTGTGCGCTGCTGGCTCTTTCTAATGTAATCGGCACACCGAGTGACCACCTTGGTGACATCTAATCAAAAAACTTCTCTTCCGACCTTCATTGTCCCTTTAAAATGCATCCTACAGGGAAACTTAACCTCTGTGTCCCTGAACAGAGCGCACTTTCTGATCATTCCTAACAAATGCAGAATCCTATAGTGATGTTAGTGAGCCAAATCTGGCTTCATTCGTTAAAACTGTGCAGCCACAGAGAATCATCGCGACTCGGGGCCTTCCCCAGGTAGAGTCTCCTCCTTTCCTAGCTGATCCTTTCTTTCTCACTCACACCTCCTCCCCTCCTAACTTCTGTAAGGAAGTTCTTTATTAAAAAAAAAAAATCCACCTCATGGAGGTTCTTTAGTCTTCTTTTATTTTTTTCCTTCCTGGGCTGGAGCTCAGACTCACAAGCTCAGGGCAAGTCCCCCTGGGATGGAGATGTTGTGACTTGGCCTGTGCCATCCCATGATGGCCTCACGCATGGGCTGGTAGCTAGCAGATAAACCTGCCCTTGCTCTCCTGGAGGCTCCTCAGTGGGGCATCCAGCAGCCACTCTTGGCCGGCACTGGGACCTAGACCCTGGTTTCCCAGCACCTTCTCCTTCTGGGCCCCGCTGTGGAGTCCTACTGCACTTCCAGCCTTCCCTGCAGTCTCAGAGCAGCTCAGCGCTCTGTGCCTCCCCATCAGGTCCAGGGACCACCCTCACGCAGGCCCCGCTCTGCTTGCACACATGGAACCCGACAGAGAGACTCTCTACACCCTGTGGCCAGAGGCCTTCATCTCTTCTGGCCTCATGGGTACCAGTGCCCAAGATCCAGGGCACACACATCAGGCCCCCTGAGTCGTCTACGTTAGGTCCTCATTCGGGCGCTATGCAGAGGACGTTCTCCTGCCTGCATCCCCACCTGCCCCATCATCTTGGCATTGGAGAGACAGGCAGGACACAGCCCCTCTCCATAGAGAAAGCTCTTCAGGAGCTGTGGCAGCAAGCTTTGGGTTCCAGACATCCTTACCCAAGACCTCAGTAAGGGTGCTTGTTTTCACAACTTTTGGATTCATCTGTCCTACAAACATTAAACCTTTACAAAGTTATCATCATGAGGCATCTGAAAAAGAAGTCTCTGGAAAAGAAATTGTTAGAGAAAGCTTTATTTTACATCAGCACATTATTCAGGAGTGACACTGCTTTGGAATAATCTAGAGTTAAATATATACATATTCTACTATATACATACCACATTCTCTTCTCCTTTAGAAATAGACAGCTACTTTCTAATTCCAAGGCTGCTGGACAGCTCTGTGAGGTCAGGTGATTCTCGAGGAAGAGGCCACACCTTCTGTTAGAACCTCAGCTCCCTCCTCCCTGGGGCCTGGCCATTCAGAGAAGCTCCATGTTCACCGACTGAAGGAAGGAACAGAAGAACTTTGCAAACCTGAGGTTTCTCCTTCTTGTCAGCTGAGGCTTCAGTTTTTCTCCTCCCTGTCAGTTGAGGTTATTATTTTTACTCTCACTAAGTATTCACTGAGCCTTTATTAAGCACTTATAATAAAGGGAATGTGTACATGGTGCTAGGTGCTTTAAAGACACACCTTTTGTCTGAGCTCACAGCCTGATGGGAATGGCTGCTAAATAAAACTGAGTGACAGTGACTGCTGTGCTGGGGGGTCCACAGTGAGCACTGGCTGCACAGGGAGGAGTGTCCCTTTTGGGCGGTTGCAGCCTGAAGGTGATAGTTGCAGCTGGGATTCTCTGAGGGAGGGAGGCCAGGGACGGGTATGCACAGGCCGGCAGGCTTTGGTTCTGAGGCTCCTTCCCTCCAGACAGGGCCCTCGGGCCCCACAAGGTTATATTCAGATAGGATGGCAATCTGTGTGCGGTGCTTTCTTATGAAAGCCTTATGACATAAAACTGTTACTCAAAATCCTTGACAGTAAGAATCACCTGGACACTTGTTATATATCTGGACCAGCACCTATTTCCCTAAAATTCTATTTCATCAGGTGTTGGTTGTGGCCCAGGTGTTTATCATCATCATCCTCCTCTACCTCCTCCTCCTCCACCTCCTCCTCCTCCTTCTTCTTCCCCTTCCCTCTCCCCTTTTCTCCCTCCTCTTCTTCCTTATCCCTCCTCCTCCTCCTCCTCTTCTTTCTTCTTTCTTCTTCGTCCCTTCCATGAGATTCTTACCATCAGGGAAATGATGTGATCATGATATCTTTAGATGATGGGGCCGTGAGAGAGCATGGGTTTGGAACAGGTGCACTGAGATTTGCACCAGCCTTGCTGTTTGTATGGAATGAAGTATCATATTTCACTTAGCCCCAATTTTTTTTTATTTGTAAAATGATACCTCACAGGGCTCTTCGGTTCTCTTCTGATTTGACTTCTCTAGGATGCTGGGGACTGGGGAAACTTTCCTTGTCATTGAAGCTCCCATTCCTCTTGTTTTGGACATCAGCTCACTTTCCTGGCCCCTCCCACAGCTTCTTCAGGTCCTTCCTGCCTCATTCCTGGGCTCCTCCTGCCCTTCCCACCAGCTTCCTCAGCATGTTCCTGAGGCTCTGTCCATAGCCCGTTTCTGTTCTGGACTCTCATGGGTGAGCTCATGAGCTCACAAGCACAGGACGTTGCCCTCCACCAACTGTGAGTCCTAAAATCTGTGTCAACTCAGTGCTATGAACTCCAAGCCCCTGTGTCCATGTGACAGCTGGGCCTGACCCACTTCTTCAGTGGCCCCAAAGCACTTTCAAGTGTCCTACTCACTGCCTCTACCTCCATTCCCCCTTTAGATCACTCTTACAGATTCCAAGTTTTTCTCAATCTTTTCTCCTTCCAATACGTATTCTACAATGCAGCCAGAATAGTCTTCCCACAGGGTAAATATGATGATGAGAACCCTCTACCTGAAACCTTGCAGCAACTACCTCTCATCTTCACGGTAACATGGTATAATACCCCCATGATGCAGCCCAGATCATTTCACCTTTGCCATCCCCGGACACTCTAGGACACCAGTTGGGTTTTAAAGTCCTCTGACAGGTTTCAGATCACACTTCTCTCATAATTAATCACTTGCTTCTCCAGAAATGGTCAGTCCGTGCTCTCTCATGTCCGGAAGGGCCTTGGACCTGCTATTTCTCCTGCCTGTCTCACTCTTTTTTATTCTTCTGGTCTCAGTCACCTGATGCTGTCACCAAGTGCCTGTGTGCCTCCATCTGTCCCTAAGAGGGACGTGCCTCCTGTGAGCAGGGAATCCTCAGGGGATGTGTCACCTTGAACCTAGTTAAGACCTAATGAAGGTTACTATCTTTATATCCTTTTCCCCATCACTCAGAAAACTGAAAGTTCTGAGTAAATGAATTGTGTGTCTTTATACTAAAGGCCTTAGATACATGATAACAGACATAACAGAGCTAATTTCACAGCATCTTTCATAGGGTTTGCTTTTTAATATCCAAATTGACATTACACTTGCTAATGACTATGGAGGAAGAGTCAATTCACTAATCTGTTTTGTTAAAAGGTAACATTGGTTATGTTTATGAGTGAGTCATGGTTTCCAGAGCTTTTCCATGTACGGTATTTCTTTCATCTACAACTAATTCTGTAAGGCATCTTTTCTTACCCTAATATAGCCTGCAGAAGTCTTCGCCTCAGCACTTAATTCTCAGAGAGTTTCCTTGCCTTGGACAGTGACAAATAGTTGAGTAGAAGAGTAACAGGTAACCAGGTAACACATAGCAGAATTAAATACTCTCATGCAGTCTCCACATTTTCTTCTTTTATGGTTTTATAAGCCAAGTAGGTAACTATGTCTCTTAGCATGCACAGGCTTAGCCCACAGTGCTTGGTACATGCTCAGTTGTATCAAATTAGAGCATGCTGTTATTTCTACCTGATAATATTAAACATCTCTAGGATATTACAACAATATTCAAAATAAATGAGCATTTTCTATGCCTGAATAAGATGGTGGTCCTTCTATACTGTCCAACGAACTATTAACTATAGAGAATTGCTAGAAATGTGGGAACATCTGGCCTGATCAGTGAACTCACATGCAGCCCAAAGTCAACAGGTTTAAGCTGAGCTCATTGCCCTTGCTGCTCCAACCAGCTTCCCTGTCAGCACTGCTGTCTCAATAATGGCACTGTCATCCACTCAGGCTCCCAAGTGGAAACCTGGGAGTCACTCCTTGAACTTTCTCCCCTACCCACCAGCCCACCAAACCAATCAGTCATCAAGGCCAGCTAATTTTGCCTCCCATCTTGAATCCTCACCTCCTCCCCATCTCCCTTGGGCTATTGCAGCAGGATGTGAGTGGGTTTCCCACCTGGTGTCCAATTCCCACAATGCGCCCTCCATTCGTCAGTTACATTTATCTCAATGAGAGGCATATCTTACCTCCAAATTCCCGGTGTAATACCCTTCCACCGCTCTCAGTTTTCTGAAGAATGGGCTCCTGTGCCATAGCATGGTACAAAAAGAATCTATCAAAACTCGGCCGTAGCTGCATCTCCAGCCTCACCTACTGCTGCACTTTATACTTTGAACTCTGAACTTTGCAGCTGTTTGTGGCCGCCTGTCCCCATCATGCTAGCTCATGCTTTCCTGCCTTTGCCCATGCCTCCTTTACCTGGAATGCACCTCTCATTCTTGGCCTGGCTCAGTTCAGGTACTGTCTCTTCTTGAAAATGTTTCTTGACCTCCACATTCAACCAAGGACCCTTCTGGGTGCTCTCACAGGAGCCTGCCCACTTCAATAGTTTAGCCAGTGCTACATGGTATTGACGTCACCTGATTATATGTCTGTCTGCCATACAAGACATAATGTCCTTGAGGGGTAAGACCATAGCTCGCCTATTTTAGTACCCCAGCACCTAGGGCAATTCCTTGCACATGCTAGGAATCCAGTTCACTCTTGCTGAACTGAGTAAATCAAGTCATCTTGTTTTGGGGATGGCCTGTTTGTCATGCCATGTTACATATTTTTGTCCCTATTTCTGGTTTTATGGTTTCAGGTGTCTCTGTTCAACTATGTATTTTTGATTTCTTGGGCTTTTGCTCTGCCGTATGCCAAGCTGCGCCGTCTGGCTTCTAGTGTCTGCACGGTCTGGACGTGTGTGATCATCGTCTGCAAAATGTTGTACCAGCTCCAAACCATTAAGCCTGAGAACTTCTCTGTTAACTGTTCCTTGGTGAGCCTCGGTGAAGGGGGAATATTCCTGACTGCCCTTTAGTGAACCTCCATCCCCAAGTACCTTTGGCCTGGCCTGGCCTGGCTTGTAAGTCACCTCTCCCTGGCTGGACGTGCTCTGGCCCTGTGTTAAGCCTCCTCTCATACTGAGGGCTCCCCCGAAATGGACCTGTCCCTCCCATCCCACCATTGTCCCTTTGCTCAAAGCTGAAGAAGAAATAACCCAAGCTCTCCTCATCTGTGGAGCTGTTTTTTTTTTTTTTACTCCATTTTCTCTCTTTTCAGCCAAATGAAAATCAAACGAACATCCCCCTTAATGAGTTGAACAAGTCTCTGCTCTACCGCGCTCCTACTGATCCTACAGAGTGGGTTGGCCTGCGGAAGTCTTCGCCACTGCTAGTCTACCTGAGGGTAACGGCTTTGCTGTGCTTAGTTTGGGCCTCCACACCATTGTATAACAATTCAGAATCCATTTCCCTGAGATGTTTGACATCCATTTGATAGTAACCTCATCTTATGTGGGATTTGGCATCACCTTTGCAACAAATTCTAGGTGTTACAATCAGTATTGTGGCATGTTAAAGAGAAAATGACCAAACGATCTGAGACTGCTTGAATAAAATATGATAAATATATTCATTGGAATGTATTTATTTGAATAGAATTGAAGCATGTCCAAAATATGTGAAGTTTTTTAAAAAGCAAATTTCAAAACACTGTGTATAGTTTGATCTCTTCTAGACACAAAGAAAAATATTGAATAAAATATACCACATGCTCAGTAGTGATTATTTCTGAGAAGCGTATTAGCCTTACAAGACATTTGTGCTATGTAAATTGTTTCTCTATAGTTTTTAATAAAGAGCATCTATTACGTCTAGAAATAACAAAGCATATATTTATCAAAGGAAATTTGAGTGCAAATAGTCATACAATCATAGTGAAAACCACATGCCTCAGATTTTTCACATCTTTTCATGGATGATCTGAGTAGTCCTAATCATGTTACACTGGCATGCACTTAATCATACAGCCTCTGCACTTAGCACCTGGAACTTTAAGGTGTATTAAGCATCCCATTTTCTCTTTTTACCTTCTAGTTTTTTCCTCATGTGGTAGATATCTATTGTGCCAGTACTCGCCATAAATAGCTGTTATGAGAATAAAGAAATTGGTATTTGAAAAGGGTGATAGAATTGTGTCTGGAAGCTGTGATTCCATAAATGTTGGCTATTTTCATTATCTCAAATAATAGTTACATCATCACTACTATTACTTTACTGTCAGCATGTTTCTCAATCTATTGCTTTCTGTAGCCAGATTTCAGGAGTATTCAAAAACTTCCCCCAAGCAGCTCCCCACTCACCTAGCTCAGTGTGTTTCCCAGGGTGTCTCTATACTGTTTTGAACTTCCAGTTGCAAATAATGCTGAACTGCCCTCCTTGGATCACTGGAAATTGCTTCCTTGTTATGAGCTGTGTAGTTTTGAGAAACAAGAATGAGCAGCAGCATCTTAGGTCTAGAGACTCTAGATCCTATTATTTTGGAAGTTAGCCTGATTTCTTAATGGAGATAATGCGACAATAAATAAGACAGAGAAAATAAATATTGAGCTCGAAACTGTTTAATAGAGGTGAGCTTTTATAAAACATTGTCCTTTTAATTGTCAAGAATATGAGGATTGCTTGAAATTACCAAATCATAAAGCATCTGGCTGACACAGTTGTGTTTTCTTGCTTTGCAGAATAACCTCCTGATGCTGGCTATCTTGGCCTTTGAAGTCACCATTTACCGCCATCAGGAATACTATCGAGGTCGAAATAACCTGACAGCCCCTGTGTCTAAAACTATCTTTCATGACATTACAAGACTACATCTAGATGATGGACTTGTTAATTGTGCCAAATATTTCATCAATTACTTCTTCTACAAGTTCGGTCTGGAGGTGAGTTTCCTTGCTGACATGTTTTATTTCTCTTTTCCATGAAAATTCAAAGAACTTCTTCCAGCCAACTGACCACTGGAGCTTTGTGATACATCTCCAGACATGACGGCTCTCTCCTTGAGAACAACAGAAAGTGTTTGTACTGATGGTTAACTGGCTTGACTGAAGATTTTCCAAGATTGGGTGCCAAACACCCCCTCCACAGCAGTGCCGCGGCCTCCCTGGATCTCCGGAACCATCTAAATGCATGGCCATCAGTTTCTGTGTTAACAGGTTTCTTTTCAGGAATAAACTGTTAATCTTCTGGCCAGGCGCAGTGGCTCACGCCTGTAATCTCAGCACTTTGGGAGGCTGAGGCAGGTAGGATCTTCTGAGGTCAGGAATTTGAGACCAGCCTGAGCAACATGGTGAAAACCCATCTCTACTAAAAATACAAAAATTAGCCAGGTGTAGTTGTGTGTGCCTGTAAACCCAGCTACTCGGGAGGCTGAGGCAGGAAAATTGCTTGAACCCGGGAGGCAGAGGTTGCAGTGAGCCGAGATCACACCACTGCAATCCAGCCTGGGCAACAGAGTGAGATTCCATCTCTAAACGAATAAATAAATAAATATTCATCTTCTTTCTTTTTGTGAATTCTGAAAGCATAAGCTGCAGCCAAAATTAACTGTTTTAAGCTAAAATGGTTGTGATAGTGCCTGTGCCTTCATAGAATGAAGTAGCGACGGTCATGTTTCATGAAGAGACAAAAATTGTTGTTCTCTTTATTGTCTGAAGCGGTTATTACAACAGCTACTAGTCAGTTTTTCCCTTGGGAGTAATCTATACAGGATTCAGCCTGGTCCTGAGGGATGTGGTTCTCTGCCACCTACACAGACCTGACACCTATCACCGGTCCCCTTTCCCATAGCCTGATTTTTTTTTTTTTTTTGCCTCTCTTTGTCTTTACGCAGACCTGTTTCCTACTGTCAGTTAATGTGATTGGCCAGCGAATGGATTTCTATGCCATGGTCCACGCCTGCTGGCTGATCGCTGTCTTATATAGACGCAGAAGGAAAGCCATCGCGGAGATCTGGCCCAAGTACTGCTGCTTCCTGGCATGCATCATCACTTTCCAGTACTTCATCTGCATCGGCATCCCGCCTGCTCCTTGCCGAGGTGAGCCTGCCCTTCCTGGGATCCATCTACTTTTAGAAGAAGCCATTGCCGAGTGGACAGCTGGTAGAAGAGTGGAGATGAAGAGCATTGACTGTGCTGTTCACCACTTCCTTTTCTGCAGATTACCCATGGAGATTCAAGGGTGCCAGCTTCAACGACAACATCATAAAGTGGCTGTACTTCCCAGACTTCATTGTGCGGCCCAACCCTGTGTTTCTCGTCTGTAAGTATTTCTACTGCAGGGCCACGGAGTGCTGGTATGCAGGTTCACTGCTAATCGCTCTTCACATGCTATGCGTTAGCGCCTTTGCGTCTTCCACCAGACTTCACAATCGGCTTGTCTTACACATTAGTATCACAAGTCATTAATGGCTTCTACTCGCCCTATTACATTAGCAAAATTTACCCTGAACATGAGACAGTGGGTGCTGGAAGATGCTTCCCAGATTTCAGTTGCTCTAGAATTGGGCTGCAGCCCCAAGGTCTTCACAGGGCAGCTGGTGATCCAAAGGTCAGAGCAGCTCCCCAAAGACCAGAGTACTGGGTGTTGAAGAAAATGCAAATGACTGCCCTGCCTAAACAAGTTTAGGTTTAAGAAGCAAGGAAGCAGCTAGTGTGCAGGCTGCTAGGCAGGCTTGGCCTGAGGCCTCTGTGGGCAGTTGCCTGGAAGACAGCTCTCAGGCTACTCTGTGCTCACAATGCACGGTCCCCCATCTCCAACTGCTCGCACCACATCTGCAGTGTGGCTTATGCTCTGGGGAGAGTCTTTGGTTAGAAATGCAAAGGGGGATGGAAAAGATAAAGAAAAATGAATGCCTGCATCTGCCACATCCGTGGCACCTTATGCCACATCTGCCACAACTGTGGTCACTCTGTGCCCTGCAAGGTGGAGAGGGTATGACTTGGCCCCGACGTTGGACTCCAGGATGAATTTTACTATGAACTTTGGGAACACAACTCACTTAGGAGCTGGGGTGTGGCTGTTGCTGTGTGATGACTGTGTGTTGCATTATGTAAATCAGAAGAGGACAAGGCTGATTAATGATATCACCTCTGTCTTGCCAGATGACTTCATGCTGCTTCTGTGTGCCTCCCTACAACGGCAGATTTTTGAGGATGAGAATAAGGCTGCAGTGCGGATCATGGCAGGTGACAATGTCGAGATCTGCATGAACCTCGATGCAGCCTCCTTCAGCCAGCACAACCCTGTGCCAGATTTTATTCACTGCAGGTAACAAGAGCTTCACATTTGCTAAGAGCCACTTTCATGTTTGTTTCCATTACATTGCTCCTCTATACTTTCTCTGCTATACTTGGAAAATAGATCCGCTGAATTATACACATTGAAGCTAATAAATGCTGGACAGGGCTGGTCAGTAGCCTGGAAGCTGAGTCTCTGAATTGTAGCACTGCACCTGCTTTTGTCAGTGTAAACCACCTCTTTATGGCCTCAGTTCTCTTCCTCTTCTTTGTGTAAAAACTGACCTGTGCCATTAATACCAGCTCTTTAGTGGAGGGCCCTCCTTCTCATCCCTCATCCCTCCTCCGCATCCCCATAGCTCATCCTTATCTTCCCTCCTCCTCATCATCACCCATCTTTCTTCCTTATCTTTCATCCCTCATCCTCATCCCCATGGCTCATCCTCATCCCTATCCCTCCTCATCTTCTATCTCTCCTAATCATCCTTCATTTTTCTTCTTCATCCCCATAGCTCATCCTTATCCCAACCCCTCCTCCCCACCCTCCAGCCTTCTTCCTCATCTTCATCACTTATTCTCATCCTCCATCTCTTGTTCTTATCCCCATCCCTCCTAATCATCCTGCACTTGTCTTTCTCATCCTCCATTCCTCCTACTCATCCTTACTCCCTTATCTCCATTCTTACTCCTCATCATGCACCCTTCCATTCTCCATCCCTCATACTCATCCCCCTTCCCTCCCCTCATCCCCACCTTTCCTCTGTAAGTGTTCCTCATTCTCTCCTCCTCCTCCTCATCCTCCATCCCTCAAGCTCATTTCCTTAGCTCATTCTTGTCCATCCCATCCCTCATCCTTGTCCCTATGGCTCCTCCTTCTTTATCCTTCATTCTCTTCCTCCATTCATCCTCCTCATTCTTCATGCCTCATTCTCATCCCCATAGCTCATCCTCCATCCCTCCTTCTCATTCTTCATCCCTCATCCTCATAGCTCATTCTCATCCCCATCTTTTCTTCTCATCTTCCACTCCTCCTACTTATCCTTCATCCCTCATCCTCATCCCCATAGCTCATCCTCATTCTTCATTCATCCTCCTCATCCTCCATCCCTCATTCTCAATCCCCAGCTCTCATCCTTATTCCCATTCCTCCTTCTCTCCCATTCCTCATTCTCATCCTCTGTCCCTCGTCATCATCCTCCATCTCTTCTCCTTATCATCATCCCTCCTCTTCATCCTCCATTCCTCATTCTCATCTTTCATCCCTCCTCCTCATCCTCCATCCTTCATCCTTATCCCCTATCTCTCCTCCTCATCCTTCACCCCTCATCATTACCCCCCATCCCCCTTCCTCATCCTCCATTTGTCTTCTTCATCTCCCCTCTCTCCTCCTCATTCCTTGTTCTTATCCTCGCTTTCTGTATTCACTGGGCACTGAGGAGGTATGGTTCCCTAGATTCCACCCTGTGCAGCTTTTCCATCCTCCACCACTCCACCCACCCTCATGACAGCTGATCTGGGCCGCGTTTCTCTCACGGTGTCTGTGTTTAAACCATGCCAGGCTTCTCCCTGTGCACTCACTCTTTCTGCATTCACTGTGTTTCCATGTTGAGATTTTGTCACCCAAGGCCCACTTCATGGAGGGCAGGCCCACTCTGCCTCTTCAGTCAGGTCTTTGGTCTTTAAATGCCTCTAAGACTCCACTCAGCTGCCCACTGTAGTCAATTGTCTGAGGGAGCTGCTGTGACTTTTTATACCCTCTTATTAGCTATATGTTGTGGGACTCATTTCATACACATATGCCATCCAAGTGGAGACAGGTCACTGATAGTACCCTAGCCGGCCAACCCCACACCTGGAGTTGCTCTCCAGCTTCTGGTCTTCTAGAGATTCCTGTTTACATTGTGTGAATATCTTCTGCCTGGTGTTGGTAAGCTGTAGCCTTAGGGTGAAGATCACACCTAACTTGCTTTTGCACTTGTCCCCATCCCCACTCGTACAGTTCTCAGCCCACAATGCATATACCAATACAGATAGCTGTCAGTCACCTGGTGCTCCCTTTCCACCAGGCTCTGTTCCAGGCTTTGCACACATGGAGCCGTTTTACCCCAACCCTAGGAGGTCATGTTATTATCCCCATTGTGGAGATGAGGAAACTGTGACAACCAGATGAGACATAGGCAGCAGTAGAACTGGGATTGGAACTCAAGCAGTCCAGCTCACAAATCTGAATGTTTAAGCGCTTGAGTGCCTCTTGGTAGCACAAAAGGCTCAATATGGACTGAGTAAATCAGGAAGTGAGTTTGCTTCAAAACCATATGCTATATAGACTTGACCATTCTATTTGTGAATTAAGTACCAGACTAGGCACTGATCTAAGGTAGGACTTCCATTTTTTACTTTTTCTCTATGATGCCAAGAAGACAGTCAGTCTAACCCAATATTTTTACTGTTGCAAAGAGAACATAAGTATTTCAAACATATTCATGAAAAACCTAAATCATAACTCAAATGAAAATCTTTTGTGTGCCTTGATTTTTAAAGCTGATTTTTTTTTAGTTATTTCAAATTTTTGTTCTATTTCTCAATGAGGACTGCCAGCAAAGTGACCCCCCTCAGGAAGTGGCCTGTCAAATGCCACAGCAGTGAGTAGGAAGGCAGTGCACACGCTTGCTGATCAGAAGCACAGCCGTGCTCGCCTCTTCCTCCCCCACAGGGGTTAGCTCCACAGCAGCCTGAGATCTCTGGAAAGTGGCCAGAGCCCTGATAGTTAGGTGGCCCTTAGCCACAGTACCTGTCACCAGGGCTCAGTCTCTCTACTCAGCGATCCATAAGGCTCCTCTTTGAAGCATGTTTACTGGGTTTTTTTTCCAACTTATCCTCATAAACTTAGTTTGATGAATTCTGGACTCAAAGTGGGTTCAATGTGAAGGCCAGGACTGGTAAAGCAGGGATTGACTGCTGCAGGCAAGGAAGGAGAGGTAAGGAAAGAATCACCTGCACTCACAGGCACACACAGGCCAGCACTCATACTCGAAATGCCAGCAGCCCAGTTCCACTGAACTCAAATCACACACACTTCAGAAGGCCCCTAGGCTCATCCAGTTCACTACCTTTCTTTGTGATGATCCAGGGATACAGACAGATACTGACATTTCATTCCACTCTCCATTAGGAAGTCAAGGAAGAGTTTTACATATTTTAGAAAAAAAATTATAAAAATATTTAAGTGTTTTCCTTTAAAAAGAGTAAAGGTTAAAAGTTCACTTGCCTGAAAAATGTACCAAGGCACAACTCAAACTGATCCCCTAATAATGCTGGATAGCTCAAGTGTAGTGCATATTTTATTAAGCAATTACTTATTAACATCCTACAAAACAAGAATTCATTAATCAAAAAATTAATCCAGAATTTGTTCTCCTGTGCTTCTTCCCAAATGCGGCAAAAGAAATCACCAAAACAAAACCCCCAAAACCAAAAAGTTCTAATCAAGAAACGCAGCTGGGACTTGGCCTGCAGGTGTGACTCCTGTCAGATGACAATGCTGGCACCCGAGCGCGGGCCTCACCTTCCATCAGGAAAGCAGCAGGGATGGGTGGCCCCCAAAAAGGAATCCTGACTCAGCCAGAGAACCTCCAAAACCAGAGTACTGAAAAGAACAAAAAAGTCCCACCATGGCTGTGGATAGTTTGTCAGAATCACCTCTCATCTGTAGAGAAAGATTTCCACCTCTAATAAAAGCTTTGTGTTCAATATAAATTTGTTTAACTTCTAGTTTATCAAAGAAATTCGCTCATCCATTCTTAGCTTTTCTTTCACTAGACAGAAGGCATCTGTACCTCTAAGGTACAGAAATTCTAAATTTCTTTTGCCATGCTATGATTCATGCCTACCACGGGAAAATAAAGGAAAATTTTGAATGCTCAAGTAGTAGGCAGAAATTGTTGTTTGTGAGAAATTTGGCTTGAATAAGGTGGTGAGAAGCATACACACGGTTTGTTTCCACAGCTCATCTATTGGTCCATTACTAACTATTTGAGGGTTTCCTAGATACCAGGATTAAATTAAAGCTCGTAGTCTGATGTGCAAGTCATAGTAGAGAGCGTGAATTTCTTCCCTTCTTAAAGGAGACTTTCCTGATTTTGCTTCTGTTCGTTTTGTTGTTGTTGTCCTTCTGTCGCTGGCTTTGTTTTCCAGATCTTACTTAGACATGTCCAAAGTGATCGTCTTCAGCTACCTCTTCTGGTTCGTGCTCACCATCATCTTCATCACTGGCACCACCAGGATTAGCATCTTTTGCATGGGGTACCTGGTGGCCTGTTTCTACTTTCTGCTCTTTGGGGGCGATTTGCTGTTGAAACCCATCAAGAGCATCCTGCGCTACTGGGACTGGCTGATTGCGTACAACGTTTTTGTGATTACGATGAAAAATATCCTGTCAGTAAGTGTTTCCCATTGCATAACACATTTGTGATTTCCATGTAAGAGTAAACAATCCACTCGTGGTTATTAAAAGCCCAGTGCTTGTCATGTTGCTCTCTTAAAAGCCCCAAATAAGATGCTGCAAATTCAGAATTAAAAACCCATTTATTTCTCTCTGTCTTGCCACGTTAAACAGAATCCTTTTTGCTCATTTTCACCATTTCAAGGGCACATGGCTAAAGGATATGGGTTCATAGGAATAAATTCTAAAATGTCTTTTACTAATTAAAATTCTGTCTCTTCTGAGAAATAATTTGTCATCACTGTTGCTGTGAGTTATGAAGTGGCCCTGTTAAAAGCTAAATTGGAGCCATTGAATCTTTTCAAAAGCTGTTTCATGTTGGCAAAAAGCAACCTTCTTATCTAGAAAGAACCGCAGAAATGTGCAATATAATGATCATGGCTCTCTATGACACTGGTTGGGGTAGGAATGAAGCAGAATGGGCTATTGCAGGCAAGAATGTTTTATGCACTCATAAGATGTGGGTAGATAGAAGAGAAAATTCAGCTTTCGTGTTCCGTCTGAGTATAGACATCCAGATTAGGACACAGCTAGAGCAATATAAGGTTAATGGAACGCCCACCAGGCCCCGGCAAAGCTTGGCTGCTCTGCTCTTTAAGTAGCTATGTTTCAGAGCAAACTCTTCCCCTCACATGACAGGTAACTCACACTGCCCAGTGGTAATTCCAGAGTCACATCAACCTATCAGGACACAAGGACACCATTTCAGTGATTTAGTGCTGCAAGAAATTAAGCAACAACCTCTCCTGAGCTGAAGGAGTTAATAGCTATCTGGCTGGTGCCCACCTGAAGTTTATTCCTGTGCCTGCACCTCCCAGGCTGTAACTGCTTTTGCACTGAGAGAGCAGTGAGGAAATCTCCTTCGTAGCTACTTAAGGATGAGCTCCCCAGGCAATTCAACTGTGATAGCTCCTTGATTTTTGNGGGGGGAGGGTGTATCTCTGTGTCTAGAGGTCTTGGAAAGCCAAGTTTATGTAGCCATGAATAGGCATTTGGATAATTTATTTTGTTTGAAGTCCATTGAAAGTCCATTTTCTAGGTGACAGTGAAAGTGACTTTTACTGGGTGCTTTTACCCCTCTGACATCAATTTACATTTGGAGAAGCATTGAGAGTTGTTGAAAAGAGCATGAGAAAGAACAACAGAACACTGGTTCATTCTAAAGCCAGTGTGATGGTGCGGGATCTGTTGCCAGAGGCTGATTTCACAGCCATGCTTGGAAAATGTATGGATTCATTCATTTGTTCTGTAAACCTGTATTGTAGACCTGTTTTTTGCTAAGCACTATTTGATATATTGAAGAACTAGAGCTAAACAGCTCTCAGGTTTTGCCCTCAAGGAATTAACATTCTAAAAAGGAAGGTAGACCTACTTATAAATAATTATGATGCAGTATGTTAATGATAATTATCACAACATTTTTGAGAAACAAAGCAAAAAAAGGATACCTAATATCTTGCTTAGAGAAGCTGGGAAGAGGCTTCCTGGGGACAATCCCATTTGAATGCATCAGAGATCATAAATAGATTGAAGGGTCTTCAGGGAGACAAAGGGGGAAGGCATTCTTAGCCTGGAAAATGGAACAAAAGCAGGATATGACACTGTAGGACTGGAATATTCCTAGGGTTGGGGAATCCATACTGAGTAACCACTACTGTGTGAGCAAATCCTAATGATACTCTCCTTCCTCTCATGTTCCCAGGAAATACACACAATGCAGTTGAAACTTTTATGTGTTGGCTTGCAATGATTCATACTTGTTCAAACATTTTCCAGCTCACGATTTAAACTTAACTATAACAAGAAATTCATTGTTATGGGGCAACCACCTGCCAATCTACAAAAAGCATTTCTTTACCAAGAGAATCAGCCAAACAAGACTCGAAACACATACTCTGTTCTGTTCTAAGAACCACACCCTGCAGCTTAAGTCTGGGATGACCTCTAGGGAACAGCATAGGTCATATTTATCTGGCTTTTAAGAAAATAATTCTACCAAAGTCAAAGTTCTAGGGTTCAGTGCACACCCATTCATTACCCCAGAGTTGAGATTTATTTTGATGATCACCCAAGATTTCCTCTTGAAAAAGTGGTGCTTCCAAGTACAGAAAACATTACATGAAAGACCTTTCCTTTACTCATTCTGTTTAATTTTCCCCAGGAATTTACATTGCTCCTGAAGCACTACCACAATGTGACTGAATTTTTAGGTACAATTGGCATCTCCTAGAATCATTACCACTGAGACCCTGTGAATACTTATAAGACGCCACATTTTTTTCTGTGTGCAGAGCTTCAGCATTGTGCCCCTCTTTTGTTTCAGATAGGAGCATGTGGATACATTGGAACATTGGTGCACAATAGTTGTTGGTTGATCCAAGCTTTCAGCCTGGCCTGCACAGTCAAAGGCTATCAAATGCGTAAGTATGAAAAGCAAATGTGGGAGCAGAAGGGCAGAAGAGGGAGGATAGTTGTATTGTTCTAATTTTAAAATTGGGCCAAAGCCAATAAAGAGATAAAAGTAGGGTCAGTTATCTCCAGATGGAGGCTATAGAGCTGTACATTGTGAATCTATTGTCTATAATATGAGATGCCTCATGCTAAGCCTCTTTGATCATCTTCTTTAAACGTCTGAAACTCTGAGGACTTGGAGTCTGTGATCTGGAGATTGGATGTAGTGTTGTAGTAACTCCCCGGACTTTTTGAGTCATAATTAGGAAGGATTCCAGAAGCCCACTCAAACCTGCTGTTGTTCCGCTTAACATCTTGGGTCATCAGGTAACTCTGACTTCAGGCTCCTCTTGTCCTTAGGAAGCTCAGAGAGCTTCAAACTCAGGGAAACAGTTGGGAGGAGCATGAGGATTTCCAGAGTTAGACTCCTGCTGAGACAAAGGCAGAAGTGTCATTGCCACCACCCTGCCTGTTGTACCAGAACCCAGGATGACATCACACGTGGTCGACCATGGCACCCATGGTGTTACTTGGACACCGTGCTCTATTTATTTTTTATTATTTATCTATATTTATCTATATTTTTAAAAAATATTTTGAGGCAGGGCCTCTGTTACTCAGGCTGGACTACAGTGGCACAATCATAGTTCACTGTAACCTTGAACTCCTGGGCTCCAGCGATCCTCCCACCTCTGCCTCTGGAGTAACTGGGACCACAGTAGCTGCCTCCTGAGTAGCTGTGCCACCGTGCCTGGCTAATTTTTAAATCTTTTGTAGAGATGTTGCCCAAGTTGGTCTTGAACTCCTGGCCTCCAGCAATCCTTCTGCCTCATTCTCCCAAAGTGCTGAGATTACAAGCATGAGCCACCACATCCAGTCTTTTTTATAAAGTCTGGTTTTTTTTATTATGTAGCTTCTATTTCAGGCCATACTTTGCTGAAGCCTCACTAAGACTTTGCTTTTCACTTAAGAGAAGACATACTATTGACATTCCTTCTTATAAACCATGCTGTTTTCATTATTTTGCGGGTTACCCCTGTGTATAGCCCATTCCCAGAATGGGTGTTTTCTTTTGTAGAAGAGTATTTCCTCTGGCACTGGACATTATCTCTCCGTGGCCGTTGCTGAGGGTCTCTTTCTTCCTAAGAGAAAGAAATACTCAGGAGGCCTCCATGTTAATGAGGCCCTCCGGAACCGTGGAGTATGAGGAGTTCAATGCGTGGTCAGCCTTGTGAATCAATGTTGATGTTGGATTCGTGGCCTCCTTGTAAATAAATCAACTCATAAATAAGTCAGAGCTTCAGAATGCTGCTTTTGTGCCTTTATTTCCCAAGCTTGACTATACCCCAGATTTTATAAAATGACAATGAAAACAGATGTTAATTTTGTGTTTTTCTACTTTGCTACCACAGCTCCTGCTAATTCGCCCTGTACACTACCCAGTGGGGAGGCAGGAATTATTTGGGACAGCATATGTTTTGCCTTCCTCCTGCTGCAAAGAAGAGTCTTCATGAGTTATTATTTCCTACATGTTGTGGCTGATATAAAAGCTTCCCAGATCCTGGCGTCAAGGTGGGTCAGGCCATGGAATCAAGTGGTTTCTCCCAGGAAACTTGCCTGAAACAATATTGCATTGTGTTTTCTGTCTGAGCTTGCTTTCAGAACTCACAAGAAGTTAAGAAATCCCTTCCAGTGAAACCAATCCAAGAAGAATTTAGCACAGGACCTTTAAAATAGAACAGTAACAGGAAGGCCTATGTAACCATCAGGCTTCACAAGGAATGGGGATGCCGTAGAAGGCCAGAGGTTCACTGGTCAATTTGAACCTCTCAAAACGAACCAGTTCTCTAGAAGTGGCTCAGCCTGGTCTCAGACAAACAGCAATGTATGCCACTTTGGTCTAGAGCTCAGTCCACTTACACCTACCTCCCCATACTCACCTGCTTTTCTTGTCTGAGCCACTGACCTGCTTGCATTACTATCTATTTTTTCCCATAGACTCCATTCTTCTTTCAGTTTTTGCCCTTGATCTTGTAAGTTTAGGGAAAAAAACTGGGTAGAGGTAATAAAGTGAAGGGCACTGAGGTGGGGGTGGGTGTTGATGACCAGCTGTGTGGCCCCCAGCTGCTGTGTGTGCTCCCCTCAGAGACTCAGACCATGCCTAGGTCCCATGAGATTCTCAGTGTGAATCAGCTGGTGGATACTGGGTAGTGTTATATAAAATTACCAATATCTATTATTTGGCTTGAGGTTTAGACTAATACATCTGTGTTTACCTATAGTTTCCCTAGAGTCTGTTCTCTTTTCCTACCATGATAAACACAATGTTTATTTTGTTTATTTCCAAGGTCCATTTATATGATGGCAGTTGTCAGCCTCTGTTACCTAAGTTGGAGCCAAATAGAAAGATCCCTATTGTCAAAGGAGCCTTGTGGCATGCCCAGCCCTCGTTATGTAGGTGACAATGACTTTATTTTATGTACAGCGTTGCTCTGGAATTCATTGTTATAATCATTTTCTAATACCCAGGACATCATTTTCAGAGCTAAGTACAATGTTTCATCCCAATAGTAACCTTATTTACTTGTACATAAACAGCTGGTATTTTGCAGGTAAATGCATCTGTTTTGCCTTTCCCAAAGCATTTGGTCTGCGGAGGTCCTTACATAACTTATCTGATGAACCTCCACTTGGAAGCAATCTTCCTCAGGCTCCTAAGGCAACGTGCTGTCCTAATTATCCTTTTCCTTTGTGGTTCAGTCTTCTAGGCCTTTTTTGAAACCTCTTTTTTTGCCCATCTCTCAAACATGAATGTTCCCCAGTATCTTTTTCTCAAAATTGTCACAATTGTTTAGATATCGTGCTCTTCATGTTATAGTGAGAGTGGTAACTGGCTCAGAGTACAGTTCATGCCGATTAAAGAAAAGCTATGAGTTGATCAGTAAGCATTGAACTCATAATGGTGTGTCCAAAGAATTCACAGTCATTCATTCATTCATTTCTTTCATTGCCTACTCTGTTACATAGAGGTGATGCTCACCTCTGCCCTCACAGAGCTCACAGACTAGCAGGAAAGTGGCACATGAGCAAGAAATTGTACTACAGTGTACCTGGTATTGTCTCAGTCCATTTGGGCTGACAAAACAAAAATACCATAAAACAGGTGGTCTGTAAATCATATACATGTATTTCTCACAGTTCCAGAGCCTGGGAAGTCCAACATCAAGGTTTGGGCAGATTCAGTGTCGGCCAAGGGCCCACTTCCTAGTAGATGGCCATCTTCCAAACTGCATCCTATTTTGGCAGAAGAGGCAAGAGACCACTTTTGGGCTTCTTTTATAAAGACAGTAATCCCATTCGTGAAAGCTCTGCTTTCCCGCTCAATGAACTCCAAAAGGTCTCACCTCCTGTCCGTCACCTTGGTAGTCAGGATTTCCGCATGTGAATTGTAGGGGACACAGACATTGAGACCAGCAGGTGTGACAGTAGGAGACACTCGGGGAAACATGAGGTCACATCAAGGGAATATAACCAGCTGCAGGGGCATGAACCAGGTAGCCTTCCAGTCCCAGTGCAGGATGAAGGATGAAGAGGAATTAGTCAGAGGAGAAGGCAGAGGAAGCAGCCCAGTGAAGCTACGGAAGGAAGTAGCCATCAGAAGCTCACAGTGACAGCATCACGGAGACTGGAAGATGAGGATAGTGAGTCGTGAGGGATAAGCTCCAGGTCAGGCGAGGCCAGGTCCTCCGGGGGCTATCAACCAGGATTATGTCTTTAGAAATATTCCCATAGTCTTAGGAAGGCCTTGCAGTGTTTAAACAAGCAAATGCTTTGACTGTATTTGCATTTCAGGAAGCTCACTCTGCTTGTGGTATGGAGAATAGATGGGTACAGGCAGCACGGTAAGGCAGAGAGACAGCTAGGCAGCTGCCTGATAATCCAGGGTAGAGATACCAGCTAGACCAGGAGAGGTTCACTGAGAAAGACATTCCAGAGGCAAAAGAGGCACAGCTTGAAAACTGTTGGGAGGGCAGGGAGACGGTGATGGAAAGGGAAGCACAGAGGGTGATGTGCCCAGGATTCTGGCTTAGCCAAACAGTGGTGCCAGTTCCAAATATAGGAACTCAAACAGGGAGAGAAGACTGCCGCTGCGGAGTTGTAGGTCCTGTGGGCACATGCAACTCAACCAGTTGGGACGTCCACTGAGCAGCTGCTCGGACAGGTCTAGAGGAGTGAGTAGATGGAGTGCCACCATCACACAGATAGTATTGGAGTGGGTGAGTTGCGGCTGCTGAGAGGGAGTATGAAGCATGAGAAGAGAATCCTGGGGAACATTCATGTTTGGGAGATGGGCAAAGAAAGAGGTTGCAAAGAAGACCAAGCAGCCTGAGCCACAAAGGAAAAAGGAAAACTAGGAGAGCACATTGCCTTAGGAGCCTAAGGAAGAGTCTTTCCCACTGGAATCCATCAGATAAGTTATATAAGGATAAGACTAGCAACTGAACATTGAAATCGGTGACCTTGACAGGGGGGTCAAAGCCAGACAGCAGCGAGCAGAGGTTGAAGTTGTAAAGGCTTAGAGACATGACCGTAAGACATTTCAATGTGAAGGGGCAGTGATGTAAGTTCCTACATAGGAAAATGCAGGGGAGTTGGGGTGGGGGGTTCTTTTTCATTTTTTTAAGGTTATCAAGACTTGAGTACGCTTGCATGCTTATGGACAGAATTCAGTCCTAACGGAAAAATTGGAAATGCAAGAAGCGAGGAAGAAACAGGAATTGTTCCCCAGGCTGCGAGTGGGGAAGGGACCTGGAGCCCAGGGCAGACCTAGGCAGGCTGACGGTACCTCTTCCACTGTCCCTGCAGGGCAGGACACCTGTAGGACTGACGGTGTGGGAAACTGACTTACTGCCTTAAGATTTGTGTTCCCTCTGGGAAGCAGGAAGCTAGGTCATTTACTAGGAGTGAAAAACCACTCGACAGACTTTAAGACTTGAGAAGAACGTAGCAGAGTTTGAAACAGCCACTGTAGAGAAGCAGAAGACTTTCCAAGGAGTTGGGGGCTCTGCAGAGAACCATCTGCCCAGGCGGGTGTTTTTTCCAGCAGCTGCCAATAGCCCCTCCCAGTCCAGGGCAGCATACCATCAGGTTCCTGCAGATTTGGGATTTGCCAAGCGTGTAACAGTGTGACAGAGTTGAGTATGTGAAGAAGGTTGAGGAGATATAGGGGGACACTGAAGTTAGCCTGAGAAGTGAGAAAGAAGAGAAGGGAGTAGAAGGACAGGAAGAAGAGAATCAGGGACAAGAGACTAAAGACCCACAGTTGGAGCGGGAACTTGGCCTTCACATATTCCCTAAAGAAATCCCCAGTTTCTGCTCGTTGAAGAGAAAATGAATCTGAACATACCCCTTTTTGCAAATTTCTCCTCTTGGTATAACTATAATAAGGTTAGGTGAGGACGCTTCACTGAAGTCTAATGTTTAGTGGGACAGGTTTATAGAGGCTCATGGGCTTCAAAGTCTTGGAGAATGCAAAACACTTTCCCTTCACTGATCTTCACCACTGGGCTTGTGAGCAGCCCCCACAGTCCCAGGGGGAAGGCTGTGCCCTGTTCACCCACGGGGAAAGGCTTCTAGAAGGGGTCTCGTTGACTCCCACTCTGAGCCAGGAAACTGCAAGCAGCTGCCATAAAGAGATGTGATGTTTTCTAACCCTTAGGAATAATTTTCAGGGAAAGGTGAACAACAATAGCAAGAATACTGACTTGTTCATGTTTCCAATTTCCCTTTAGAGGAGCTGAACTTTTCCAGGCCACAATTGTAAAAGCTGTAAAGGCAAGAATTGAGGAAGAGAAAAAGTCCATGGACCAGCTGAAGCGACAGTAAGAATGCTGTTGATGCTCATCCTTCTTCCGTCTTCTGATTGTGTGACGACATTCAGCTGGCACTCCACTCTTGGGGAGCCTCAAACCCCTAAAATATTTATATGTATGGGCTTTCACAACTTCCTATATATTTATTCTTGTGCTGGGGCAGTGGCTCATGCCACTAGACTGAGAGTGGAAGCGGCTTAACAGGATAGCTCCAGCCTGGTGGGGTTGGGTGCTCTCCTGCAGAGGACCAGAGATCAATTGCTAGCTCAGTGACTTACTTCAGAACCTTGAGCAGGTCATTTAAGTTCCCTAAATTTGAATTTTCTGTTTTTACATTACAGCTCACAATTCTGTCTTTCCAGATTTTTGTAAAGATTAAACTGGCTGATGAATGAGACAGGGTCTTGCTCAGTGTCAAGCACTTGCTATAAGCATTCATTACATCTGTGGGCTAGGGGGGTAAATGTGGAGTCAATTTTGGAAGCACAGTTTTAGATAATATCATCCAGTCTTTTTTGGAAAGAAACTGATAACCCTGGTATTAGATGACTTAGTCAGCACTAACTAGAGGCAGCACTAGAAATACAAGCTAGAGTTCCCTATATCCCATCCAAGGCTTTTCCCACCATCCCATTCTGGATAGCCCAAGGGGCAGACTGACTCCACTCAGGAAATTTGAGAATTCCATGGGAAAGAATTTTCTTCGAGTGAAATTTCCAGCAATAATGGAACCTCTGAGAACAGGTAGTACCTCATATGTTTGGGGGCCAGGTTTAAAAGGTGATGGCCATGGAATTCTAAGCCTAGACACTTTCCCCAAGAAAATGGAGACACCATCTGCCCACTAGGAAAGTTCCCTAAGTTTGTTAGGGCAGTTTCATCTCATTCTGACCTTTTTTCCTAGCTTTTTTCCCAAGCAGAAATATTTCCTAGTGTAAATTAGGTTATTCCACAGCATAATTATTTTCATAAAGATGTAAGTTATATCTAAAAAATTATAATGTAAATGCAATATGGTTCAACTGTTTTTATTGTTGTTTCTAGTTATCCAAATTAAGTCTAGAAGAGTAACAAATTTGGATCCATGTTTAGAATGTGTTCCTAACTTCTGATAAGTGGAGTCTATTACTGTAATTCTCTTTGCTAAATCTTTCCATTTGTTTAAGAATGCAAAACTTGGGAGAATAAAGGACTTGTGTTTCATAATATGCAGTGTTCAAACTGGCTATGATAGGAGATGTGAGTGGACATCAAATATAGCTTGCCTAGCATAATTATTATTGGTCATATCGTTAAGACTAGCATCTATGCAATGCCAAATAACATGGGAATACACACCCAAACACACACACACACACACACGTATATAAAACAAAGGAGATACTTGTGGTTAGTGAGTAACCATTTTACAATTCCCAAATATTCTAATTTGTCCATGAATTTAGCTATATACATAACAGCGTAAGTCCAAAGTACTGACCACATGAGAACAATGAATGTGTTCTTGGCATTACTCATGTTATTTTCCTTTATAGGATGGATCGCATCAAGGCCAGGCAACAGAAATATAAAAAGGGTAAGGAGAGGATGCTGAGCTTGACCCAGGAGCCAGGGGAAGGCCAGGACATGCAAAAACTCTCTGAAGAGGATGATGAAAGTACGTCAAGACATTTTCCTCTTTTTCAAGTTTCTTAACATTGAATAATAGCATGATATTGAGTAGGGCTGTAAAATAATACTACTTTTTATTTTACCAATATTATCATTGCATTTTTTGACTCAGTAAGCTTTATTTTCCCATTGTGAATGGATATGTTCATTAGTTTCATAAAGTATATATTTGATGAATCAATTACTTTACAAGTGTCTACTCTTCAGCAAGATAGCTTTAACAAACACATAGCCTAGCTTTTGTTCCACAGACATCTGTTTCTGCAGTAGATTGTCAGAATTTTGCTTAATTTGTTTCTTTAAAGGATATATTTCTGATATACAGTTATCTTTTATTTCTATACATTTTATATGGAAATGAAATATGTATGTGTATTTTATGTGGCACCTGAATATTGGTAGCTAAAATATCATTCAATTATTGCCCATTCCAATGAAACTTACCATGAAATGTATGTTGATTATATCTAATTATAGATTTATTATATCAAATTAAAGTTTAAAGGATCTTTTATAGAGGCTTGCATTCTTCTCTATGTGAATGGAATGGAGAAATAATGCGTGATATTTTCTCAGTGCATAGTATCTATTCATGGTCAGTAAATTTATATTTTCCAGCCATGAATTAATATAATCACAAGAAAAAATTTATTGTAATTTATGTACTTTAACAAAATATTTGCCAGTAAATGGTTCTATAAAATTTGGGGGATGCTTTGTTTCTGTTAATTCAATTGAGTATTCAATGTGAGATGTATTTTTTGTATGTCTTTATATGCCCACAGTTACTAAGAAGAAAGTGAAAATGTAGCATATTGTTAAAAGAACAATTAGTATTTATCTTGTGAAATTGACTGTTAATACATGTATATTTTTCAGATTCAGTATAGTTCCTTTACCTGACCTCTGATATACTTTTGCAATTTATCTAGATTTGACAATTGAGTTGTTAAAGCGTGGTTTTCAAAATTTGTTTTCTCATTTTATAAGAATTAATATTTGGACATATTTTATTTTAGGAGAAGCAGACAAACAGAAAGCCAAGGGCAAAAAAAAGCAGTGGTGGCGGCCTTGGGTTGATCATGCTTCCAGTAGGTTTTCTTGATCCTCTTACAACCTCATCGACTCTAACCCTTATATCCTTGACCAGAATTCAGGCGTTCCCATGACCCATGTGTTCCATGCATGGTTTGATCCTTGTGACTTGATAGGGGGTCGGAGTGTAGGAAAATTCCAATGTCAATGGGTCTCTGAGCCCCAGGTTCAATACTTCCAGAAACATCAGCACAGACATTGCTGTGCTGGCTGAAGAAAGCCAAACACGTGGCTTATAGATTCTAGAGCAAAATTTATGGGCTCAGAAAGGGAAGAAGAATTGAATATTATGCTACCCAGTTCTGAAGCCTAGAGCCCTATTCGTATGTATATTTTATGGCTAAATACCCTCACTAAAAATGAGATTGAGCTCCACCTTGGACTCTGATTTAAGGCTGCTCATTCTATGAAGTGTCAGTGACCCTCTTTGTAAGGCACTAGGCATGGATGCCAGTAAGCCTCCCCTCTCCTCATTCCCACAGCTTTGATTTTATTTGCATTTAAGAATTTTTAGAAATTTATTTAGTAGAAAGATGAGGGATAACTTAAAATGCACTCACTTTCTCACTCTGCCTCCTCCTCAATCTCAAAAAGGCACTCCAAATTCCAGTGCCCACATGTGGCACAGCTTTGAAGCCACCCCATGCTCAGAGATGACCAATTAACAGCAAAACCCAGAAAACTATTTTTAAAAGCAGATCCTGATAGCCACATAGAATGCAGTATGTTTCTCTCCTGGTCATAAATATGAATGAGGAATTCTGGAACTCAGTGGCTATACTTGCTCTGCTTAGCAAAGGAAATATCACTATAGGCCAATGGCATTGTAGTGGAATGACCCATTCCAATCCAGTCCTCTTTAAATTTCTTGGAATATCGAATAATTATTATTTTGCAAGTTGTCTTCAGTTTTTTAATATCTTACACAATGTCTCCATGCTTGTAGCTACTTTAACGGGACAAGGAATATCACTGAGACAAATAACGTCACGCAGCTGTAGTAGTGAGTCTACCAGGAGGATATTTAGAATCACTAGGAAGTCAAATAAATCAGAGCTTCTTCCCATGCCTAATTCTTGGTTTCACATAGATCTGACATTGGCCTCTCTCTCCCAAGACGTAATTTTCTAATTCAGCAAGCTAGTTTAATGAAGCAATATTTTTAATTTGCTCAGTATATCTGGAGGTAATCAAATTTAATCGTAAATATCGAATTTCAACATTATGACAAAAAAATGAAAAACACATGATTATAAAGAGTTTTATTTAATTTTCCTCCCAAGTCCAAAGACAAAAGATTCTAGTCAGAGTCCAATGTGACTCTTCTATTTACTGTTCAGGGCATGACGGTCACGCTAACAGTCTGGTAATGCGGTGCACAAGATGCCTGCTTCTATCATGTCACAAGTAAACTGTGCTTGTCTTTGTGTTTTTAAAGGGCCTCTGCTAGTTTAGAGAGACCTATCCATTTCAAAATCGTGTCATATTGAATGTTTTTTCACTTCACTTGGGGTACATTCCCACTGCAATCATTGTGGTTCTCTTTCCTTTTCTCATCTAAAAATTGCATTTGCAAAGGAATTGGATATGGTCTTTGATAACTATCTTACAAGTTGTAAAAATTTAAAGAACTTTCTATGAAGGTTGTTGACTTTATATTTTCTGGTTCATTTCACCCTCATTATATCAAGTTTTCTTGAAGACTGATGTTTAACTAAATATGCCTTGTTACAGTACCTTATGATGCAATAATGCAGAAATGTGTGTGATCCATAGTTTGGAATCATTCAGACTGTGGTGTTAATTTTTTTCTTCAAAATGTATTTTTCCTTACAAGCATATGAAGAACAAAAGGGAAAGAATGTGTGCTTTATTTTTGTGTCTATGATGAGTTCTAGAGCTTATCTTTAGATATGGAAGTACTTTGTTCAAAGCCCTTAATTGGATCTTTTGAGTTACTGGGCTTTCAAATAGCTATTTCTTAGAGATGCTGAGTGTAAGAATTAGCGCAGTTAGATACACATGTGTAAATCTATTGACAACGCAAAAATGTTGCAATGTTCTTGATATTATTGGTAAGCAGTGAAGATCTTAGCATGGTCTGTATAGAGACAAATCTCCTACTTCCATACCTATGTACACACATAAGATTGCATTATTGCTGTTCAATGATACCTTCCATTCCAGTGCTGTATGTTTCAATATTGGTTCAGTACTGCCTAAATTTATACCAAGCTTCATCTTATTGATAAATATCTGAAACAGAGAGCCAAGTTCTGAGGATAAAAGTGGTAGAATTTAAAACGTTAATTTCAAACTTAGTAATTTAGCAATAACATCAACATCCATGATATGCATGCGGACACAAGCTGGAGTAGTCAGGATATCCATCTGCGCAAACAAATATATGTGTAAGAGCTTTTCTACTAAGTATTTAGCAGATGGCATGAATGAAAATATGCTCTTGTTTTTCTAGTTTCATTTAAAGAACACTTTATAAGGAAATAAGAGACTTCTTTCATTTTATTTTTTATTATGTGATAATTCCACTAGCTCACATAAATATTGGTGGTTTCTAATGATAAAATCAATGTTGCAACTGCTTGAGATGAAAAAACCTTTTGAACTTGTCCATATGAATAAAAGTTATCGAAGGTATGATTGAATACAATTTAAGCTAATGTTGATTTTGGAACCTATAATGAGGGTAAAATGCTCAATCTTATAATAGTCTGTGTTTTTCTCAAACGACCACGTGATGTAGAGTCCATGTCACCTTCCTGCGAATCTCTCGGCTTATGTGAAGGCATTACTTTAATGGTCTTCTTCACTGTCAAATGTAATGCTGTAACTTTGGTTTGTTCTTGCTTATTCTTACTTATGTTGTATTGCATTTATTTCCTAAGGCCTGGACCCAGTACTCTGGGCCTGGTTCTTTCTTCAAAATGAAAATAACAAATGACAGTGCTTCTGTTCAAGGATATAAGGCCCAATTCATTCACTCTGTATCTTCATGAATGGAGGCTTCAGATTCTTCTGAAATCGTGGGCAAAATTACTAAACTTTTGGCCATGTGAAGTGATATTCAAGCAACTAATTTTAAACAAGCCAAGGTTTTCCATTACCTTACAATGTATAGGCCCAAAAGATAACTTAAGACATCATGATATGTCGTCCAAAAGATGCTTGAGAATTTGAAAACCTGAATATAATTTGAAAATATATTTTCCTGCTTTTCCTGCAATGATGGGACATTGCTTGTAGCATCAGAAATGTTATATACTGGGCCTCTTTTCTCTGATAGACTTAAAATAATGATCCAACTGCTAAAGATTTAATTTATTAAATTTTCTTAAATCTCTGTACATTGTAGTTTTCTCTGTTCCCAACTCTTGACCACAGGCATGATGTTCTTGAAGGGAAAGTATCAGACAAGGCAAAGACAATCCATACTGTTTGTGCTTTGTGTCTTATGGTCAGTAGAGTGCTCCCCAAATTTCAGTAAACCGCTGGGGAGTTCCTTGTTGACCAGAAGCCTAGCAGTGCTAAACCCTTTGGACCCTGTCTGCCATTCTCAGTCTGTCTCAGGGCCACGACACTTAGAAGTAGCCAGAGCGTTGTTGTTGGTGTTGGTGTTTTTGTTGTTATTGCCATTGTTGTTGTTATGCTGTGTCATTTTGTTTTCAGTGTTACCTGCCAATTTCATCCTTATGGCAATGTGTGTGTGTGGTTTTTTTTTTTTTTTCACCTGTCTCAAATGTCTTGCCATGTATGTTTTGTCCGTTGTGTTACATGTGGAGAAGTCAGGTCTGCACAGTATAAAGTGAAGTAGGAGGTTGGTGACACTGACCGTGGTCCTGAATCATCCTGATTGGCTTATTTGCAAAGGTTTGGGCTCATTCAGATAAAGCCTAATCCTCCACCTCACTTTGGCCTTGTCTAAAGACCAAAATTGCCGAATTTTGAAATGATAATTTTCAGTTATTTTAGTCATCTCGGTAACAAAACTGGTTGCTGCAGAGTTGATCTACTTCATCTATGTAAAATTTATAGTGAAGAAGGGAGAACATCACAGATCCACCCTGTAGTGGCCAATTCTCTTATATGGCAAAAACAAGGCCTCATACTCTGTGGACTCAACATGGCAACACACGTAGCATCAGCCAAGATGAGTTCTCTTCATCTCGTGTGTTTTCCTCCCTGCCAACATCTCTCATTGTGCTTCTCTTATGGACAATTTGTGTACCTTTAGGGGACATTTCATTAATAAGCTCCTAATTTCCTCATATGTCTTTCAAGAAATAAGTAAATATTTTGTTTTGCTTAGTGGTCAGGAGTGGAGATTATTATTTGTTTGAAACGGATAGTGAAGAGGAGGAAGAGGAAGAATTAAAGAAAGAAGATGAAGAACTTCCCCGAAGGTCAGCGTTCCAGGTAATTATGGGAAAAACCTTTCCTTTGCTGCTTGGAAGAGCTTTTCTTATTGAGAGACCTTGATTGCAGGCCTAGATACCTCCTACCGTATTCATATGTTGTAGCTCCCTGAAGCTTCTGATTTACACCTGCAATTCTTTACTTCTAAATTAAATTGTAAGGATGCTTGCTCCCAGCAACACTGCAATTAGTACCATATTCAGGTCAGGTTTTCATTCACTTGCAATGAAACAGTTTCTGATATAAACAAAAAAAATAAAGCTTCATTGGGTGAGCTTAATGTTGTTCTTGCAAGCAGGAAGTGAAAAGACTTCTCTGGCATTGCTTTGGATTGCATGAATGGACTTCTATTTCAATATGTGAGATAGTCAATAATGAAAACAAAATCCTTGCTTTGTCTTGCAGTGAATTATCTTTTAAATGTTGCTTCAAATTTTGAAAACTGTACCATATGTATTGCTAAAGATTTGAGAACATATTGAACTAGTAATAAAAATATCTGGCACAGTTCTGTTTTTTTCAGCTTAGCTACCTTTCAATTTTGGTACCTTCTGTCCATTCTCAGCTATAGCTCACCACCCTAATATAGCATACTGTGTGAATGTGAATCAATGCTTGTTAAAGATGAGGCTTTGTCATTAGAGTTATGTATGAGATGAAAATTGGTCTGCATTTCTTTTATCAGTTAACTACATATGGGGGCTATTGGTTATTTCCCATCTGTTTTCCTACCAGGCACATAGAATGATGTCCATCAAGTCACATGATATGCCCACGATAAGGCCATCATCAGTTTTTTGGGCAGGTCTTCTCAAGTGGGTGGGGTCCATCCATGCTTGTTTTCCCAATGACATTGAAAAACTGAATTCTTCATGGAGACACCTTGGTCTGATGCTTTCTTTCTTCCTCCATTGCTTCTTGTGTATGTTTCTTCATGACTGGGTTTGTGTGCATGTTTGCACCTGGCTTGTCAAATACTAACAACTTAACTCATTTATTTTTATTCAAAAGAGTTTTATTCTAACCACCACTCATCATGCAGCAAAGGAGAGAACTTGAACATCTTCACTATGTTGGATGGATTACATGCAATAATTGACTATTTACTTTATTCCTAACTTACAAACAGAGCACATTTTATTCTAGCTTCGGAGACTGTCACCTTTTAACCCAGTTTGTGTAATTGTAGAGACAAATTCATACTGACATCATATATTAAATTGCTAGTTTTTGGTTTTTTCTACTAATTACTCTTGCTTTGTCCTTCTTTGTAGAGAGCTATTGGGAAGTTTGCGTCAGCCATTTTAGCCTTGCCAAAGTCTGTCATTAAACTTCCCAAAACTATTCTTCAATATTTAATCAGAGCTGCAAAGGTATTTGATGTTTTACTGATGTATAGTGTGTGACTCTCTGCTCTGTAGAACTGTAGACAAACATACCTTCATTGCCCTATTTCTGCATTTTCTTGGTTCTATAGATGGTACCGTGAAGGAATTATAGGAATTTAAAGTATTAGAAAAAGTTTTCAAAAACAAGTTTCTTAGAAACCAAAGTTCTTATTATTTGACTCTTGTTCTTAAGTGGACATCAGAGACTATCGAAAAATAGAAAGAGAAAATGCAGATACAGATATACTTTCTCTCCTTCTCATGGTGTTGCCTAAGTCACATCTCATTTTAAAAGGATCACATCTGGTTGCATGCATCAGTTCTGATGATTAAAAGTGTGATAATTTTTCTCAGAAAGCTGGTAAAATTCTGGATAATCTAATAAAAGACGTCTTTTACTCCATCCCTCTTTCGTCTCCCTTTCAACTGCTGTCTTCCAGTTTCTGCACTTGGTACAGCCAGGTCCTCCCTAGGCTGATCAACCCAGTGCAGTCTGTGGGTCTCCTCACTCTGACAAATCCATGCTAGGGCTTTCGGATGCGCTGTCAAGAATTATTTGTTGATTAATCTAATGCACAATTGAAGTTATTCAGCTACCTATGTTGCAGTCACTTTGTTACAAAAAACACTAATAATGAATTCCTAGTCTTACGTTTTATAGAAACACCTTTCTCCTGAATTCAGCTGGGGCAGCCACTACAATGCTTTGGTCTGTATGTCCCTCATAGTTCAATAGTGATGTAGACCAGTGCTTCTCACATTTTACCCTGGGATTTTATTTAAATGCGTGTTCTGATTCAGCAGGTCCTATGGGACCTCAAATTGTGCATTTCCCTCAAGATCTCATGTGAAGCACAACCGTGGCTCTGCATTGAGTAGCAGCATCCACACCTCTAGGTTCCTTCTATTTTTAAAATGCCAGGATCCTACTTTTTAGTGTATTTACCATTCCTGATTCCCCCAAATTCTTTTCCTTTTCTATGACTACCATATCACTTTCTCAACTCATATTTAAGAATTTATTTAAATGAAAGATTACAACGTAGCTATCCCCTGTCTTAATTTAAATATGTATATATAATCTTACAGAAAACATGAAGAAGGTGCTAGACCATATCTGAATCAAAGAACAGATGATAAAACTTCACCTATTTCGGTTAAGGATTTCCACTTCGATAAAGCTCTCCCCATCTTAAAGAATAAGTGCATTTTCGCATAATAAGTTGTTAGTAAAGTGAATCCTATTTTCCCCTGATATATATGGTAAAATTTAAGATAAAGTCAGGAATGCATACTACTGGTAGTAGCTGTTTAGAGAGCTCAGAGGTCTTTCATGTAAATTTCCATGTATTTTTCTACTCCTGGTTGGTGGAGCTTGTGTCCGATTTTCCAGGGAGGCCCATCCAGCTGGCTGACAGGTGCAGCTGCAAAGTAAGAATTGGGAAGTTCGGTAAGAGCCTTCCATTTCTTGACTCAGTAAGGATTGGGACCTTTCCCCCTCCTCTTCACTGTCAACATTTTTCTAACCCTTATTAATAATTCCTGGAACTGTAAAATGTTTCTATTTCAAAACATCCAAGTTAAGATAATTTTACCTACAAATAAGGAATTACCCTATGACTCTCCTCTCTCTGCTTTCCCCAATATTTGCATACCTCCATGCCCATAACAGTGAGGCAGCGCTGACGTGCTTCTTCTCTAGGGATGCTTTGTTGAGCCAGGAGTGCCCTTTTATAAGCCAAAATGTTAATGGAACCCACCCTTTCTACAAGACTTCTTCGATTCCACCCTTCACATCCCTTTTCTTTTCTCCTTTTCCTCCCAGTTTTCTTTTTCTTCAGAGAAAAAGAATTCTTCCAACTCGTGCTCATCTTACATTCACAAATCCTCAATTACCTTTTTGCTTTCTATTTTTGGGATTCATGCATTATCTAAAAGCAATATTGTGATAACACTTTTTTAAAGGAAATGTCACCATATGTTGCCTTTAAACCTGAAAATTTCTTACATTCAATAATTAGATTCTTTTAAAACAACCAATATTGTGCTGAGACAAGTTTGCTTATTAATGTACTATGCTGCAAACATATTCTTGATAGAATTCCCAACTAAAGTAGCCAATAAACATCTACCAAAAATTCCTTTATTCAGTCCTTCTCCTGCAAATCCCAGTTCATCTCCCCATTGTTTAAAATATGCTTTTGGCATAAAATAGAAGAAATTTTTGCCTCCTAGAATTTGTTATTCAGAAATAATACACATGTTGCATTTGTTTTAATTTAGCATAAAATTCAGATTTCTACCAGTGAGAAAAAAGAAACAGTTTTTCTGTTGTAATAACCTATGACCCTTCCATTTCCATATATGGAAAAGTTGAATCCCTTTTTACTTTCTACCGATTTCACAATGCCACTGATTTGCTTATGCTGTGTTTTTAAAAGATTTCAGAAATCTGAAAATAATATAGAATAAGATGAAAACATCTGGGTTTAAAGAGCTCCCAGAAAACATTTATTTAACTTTATCATCATAATGGAAAACCCAGCTTCCCTGAGACCCAGGTGTGTTTGTGGTGCATGAGAAGCATGCCTGCTTGGCTTCCTGTTGCTAGATGGCTTTTTCTATCAAGGTCTTCTTTTTGTTCTTTCTGCATGATTTGGGAGACTCTTGGTTGGTGGGCTGTTCATAATTGCTCTTTCCTGGTTACCAGTTATAATGTGCTAATACAACCATTTTCAGCTCTTGAATGAAAATGACAAAAGGCAACCAAAAGCCCCACAGTTTTTCTTTCATGCTATTCTGGAATAACTCCTTAACCTTAATATCACTTTTTTTCTTTTCTCTCAAAGTACTAATCAATCTACACATCCCTTTCTCAAGTCGCTGGTAATAGCTGTTATTCAGAAGAGAGAGCATTAAATGTGCAAAACTATTTTCCCAAAGTAAATAAGACTATTAAAGATGTTATTTTGCTTTTGACTCAAAGTTTATTTGTGATGGGAGAGACTACCCTACTAATACTGGATGAGGCTTCCAGCTTATTCCTATTGTGTACAGTACAAAAGCTTCAGTAAGAAGTATCACAAATGGTGGTGAGATGCAGGGACTTGGGAAGAATGATGGTTTGTATGGTATGTCCAAAGTTTATCTCATGATATCTGTGAAACCAGATGAAATATATTACTACAACATCTGTTGTCTTTAAAAAAAATTGAATTTCATGATAATAAAAATAGTACAGGGATGTTTAGTTTGTGTTGGGAGGAAAAATTATTTCAAAAGTCAGAAAGCTTGGTGTGGCTCCTTTTTTTTATTTCAAATTATTAAAAGGCCAGAAAATAATTGAACTTTCTCTCTTCAGTTTGTTTATCAAGCCTGGATTACTGATCCTAAAACTGCACTCCGACAGAGACACAAAGAGAAAAAAAGGTCTGCAAGAGAAGAACGGAAACGAAGGAGGAAAGGATCCAAGGAGAGTGAGTGGTGGGCGGGTGGCTGTGGTGGGTGTGGCAGATTTCAGAGGGTGACTGGTAGGTGGGTGGTTCCGGTGGGTGTGGCAGATTTCAGAGGGTGACTGGTAGGTGGGTGGCTCCGGTGGGTGTGGCGGGTTCCAGGCTGCACTCCCCAGCCTTGTCTGCAAAGGACAAAAACTTCTGAGGGATTAAGATCTGAAGAATGCCAAGAGTTTTAATTTGTCTTTAATTGGCCATTTCTGACACTTGGAATAAATTAAAGCACAAATTTAAGATATATTTTTTTAAGTAGGGAAAAAAAGAGAGGGGCAAATGAACTCCAAAAAAGTAGAAGAAAACTATTTTTAAGTGGATATTAGGTAATTTAAAAAAAATTATAAGACATGACCTGATCATTAAGTTAAAAATTGTTCTTAGTAAAAGCAAATAAGAAAAATGAAACTTTAACAATTTAATCAAGAAAAAGGGGAAAGCACACTTAATACTCAGAAACAAACAAGCAAACAAAAAGAACATATATTCAACATTATACCAATATATTTGGAAACATAACACATCTCTAAGGGTAAAGATATTTCAAACTATAACAAAAAAACATCAAAAGTGAAGTTGAAGTGCAGGTGGTTCATTCAGGAGCAGTATTTTATTATACATATCAGACTAAAGATGAGTATTCTATATATGTTAAGAACTGCTAGAAATCAAGAAAAATTCAATTCAGTCAATGAGAGGGTATGAAAAACAATTCACAGATCAGAAAACAAAAATGAACAAAAGATGCTCAGTATAGTACAAGAAATACAAATGAAATATTTTGACATACTGTTTTCTTAACCCATTGGATTGACAGGAACCTAAACATTGGATAATATCACTGCTTGGGAGCTGGTGGGAAGATAAGTACTCACATATACCATGAGTTGTGTTGTGAAGTGGTATATCTATTTTGAAGAGTGGTGTGTCATTATCTGCTAAAAGCTCAAATGTTACATATCATACTACAGATCAGTCCCATACCTAGGTGTTTGGCTTAGCCTATAGCAATACTTGCATATGTGTACAAACACACATGTTTAAGAACATTCATCAGAGCTATTTGTTAATAACAAAAAAATTTGGAAACATCCTAAATGCCCCCATAAAGAAGAAGAGTTAAATAAATTGTTACCAATATATCATGGAATGTTATTTAGTAGTTTAAAAATGAAATGGATAGCTTTGAGTTGGCGTGGAGAACAATTCCTGACATTATTAAGTGAAAAACAATACATTGAAAATGGCTGGCACATTTGGAAACAATGAAACAAATGAAGTCAGAATAGTACCTCAAGACAGTATTTTGCATTTTTAATGTGTGCATATACTAGCTTATAAATGCAAGGGAAAGATCAGGAGGAATACTCACTCGTCTTATTAATAACAGTGGTTACTTCTTGAGAAAGTGGAGATTAAGTGGCATGATTAAAGATAAGTTTCATCTGTTATATTTTGGCTGGAGTGCAGTGCTGCAATCTCAGCTCACTGCAACCTCCGCCTCCCGGGTTCAAGCGATTCATGTGCCTCAGTGTCCCGAGTAGCTGGGACTACAGGCGCATGCCACCACACCTGGCTTAATTTTGTATTTTTAGTAGAGACACGGTTTCACCATGTTGGCCAGGTTAGTCTCAAACTTCTGAACTCAAGTGATCCGTCCACCTTAGCTTTCCAAAGTGCTGGAATCTGTCCACCTCAGCTTCCCAAAATGTTGGGATTACAGGCATGAGCCACCATGCCGGCCTATATTTTGTTTCTTTACAAAGGAAATACATCCATAGATGGCTTGTGAAATTTAAAAGGCATTTAAAAATAAAAAGTAAAAGAAATTTCTAATAAAACTCTAATTGCAAAGTCTCTTCTTTTTGACACTTCTTCCCCGATACATCCTAGTAACATGATCTTAATTTATTGCTAAATTTAAGAAGACAAAATTAATACATAATTGCTGCAGCAAGTCAAGCAGTAAAAAGGTAGAAGTATAATCTGCCTGAACTCAGTCATCTCAAATCCTGTCCTCTAGGGTTACAAATCCTAACAGCATATTGTGTTCACTTCACTTCTTTTCTCACGTGCAGACATGAGTACGCAGGTGGTTTCCTTTATTGTTTTTTTGTTTCAAAAACCAGTTCACACTCCGCAAATTACTCTTGCATTTTCATTACCAATGTCATGAACGTTTCTCTAATTATTTATAAAGTCATATCATTATTCTTTAATAGTTGCAAAATATTCTATAGTGCAGATATGCATAATTTATTCAACCCTTCCATCCTTAATGGATATAAAGTTGCTTCCAGATTTTTGCCACAATGAACAATGCCATAATAGATATCATTGCACAAACATTTGTATGTAGTAAGACATGTGTGTGTTTAAATGCTTAGCAAAGGTTAGAAAGAACATGCATTTTCCACGGAACAGATTCTCAAAAGTGGGACTGCTGATAGAGTGTGCCTGTTTTTATTTTCATAGATATTTTTCTGAAGGGTTTTAGGACTTTGCCCTCCTCCATGTGAGGGACAAGGGTGTCCAATCTCCTTTAGCCTCACACCACAGGGTTGTACTGCTCTTTTTATCATTTTTTTTCTAGGGATGACAAATGGTTTTTATTTTCATTTGAATATAGCTGAATTCTTAACCAGTTAAACTGAGCATTTTTATTTCACATTTTGTTGGTGAGTTTTTGTTTTCAGGTCTAAGGTTTAAACACTTTTAGCATTTTCCCGCATTGTTCCATCGGCTTGTTTGTTCTTATCAATTCGTGCTATTTATATGTCCGGCTTCTTATCCCCTTTTCATATGTTTCAAATATTTTGTCCAGCCCAAGGCTTATATTTTGATTTAGTTTATGGTACATGTGATTTAGGCAATTTTTAGTTTTTTTCTGGTATCAAATGGGTCTAAATTTCCCCTTGCAGTTTCTAGGTTTCTGTCTTGCTTTTAAGAACTTCTCTCAGCTGGGTGTGGTGGCTCATGCCTGTAATCCCAGAACTTTAGGAGGCTGAGGTGGGCAGATCACGAGGTCAGGAGTTCGAGACCAGCCTGGCCAATATGGTGAAACACCGTCTCTACTAAAAATACAAAAAATTAGCTCGGTGTGGCAGCACACATCTGTAATCCCAGCTACTTGGGAGGCTGAGGCAGGAGAATTGCTTGAACCTGGGAGGCAGATGTTGCAGTGAGCAGAGACAGTGCCACTGTACTCCAACCTGGGCGACAGAGTGAGACTTCGCCTCGGAAAAAAAAAATAAATAAATAAATAAAGTCTCTCCTCCCAAATGTGATGCAGATGCTTCCCAGATTTTCTATTAATTTTACTGACATCTTAAATTTTTATTCTTTGGAGATCTAATTTGTTCACTTTTAGATGGATAGACAATCATGTTATTCCAGTTTATTAAGATGATTGATCCTGTTCCTACTGGACTTAAGTGCTTCTTTTGTCAGTGTTAGCTTCCCGTTTCTCAGGTATGTTTTTGGACTCGTATTTTGATGTGCCCTCATATTGCCTCCCTCTGGGCCAATGCCACATACTATTGAGTCCAGTAGCTATAGAGTTAGTTTTAATTTTAAGTGAGGCAAATTTCTTTCACTACCATTTTTTCTTTTTTCAAAATTGTGTTTGCTGTTCCCAGACATTTGTCCTCCCAAAATGTTTCAATCAGTCCTAAAAATTTGTTATTTGGTCATTTTGAAAATAGCTCATTGCTGTGTGTCATGAAAATTATTTATTGTGCACATACAGCACTCTTGACCTACCCACCAAAGACAGCAATAATTTAAAGATACCCTTTTAATGAATATTTACTCAGTACCTTTTTGGTACGAGGCATCATATCTTCCAGGTTTCTTTCAGATAGATGAAACACATGGATCCCGTTCTTCCGAAGTGTCAGGTGTTGTCATATGTGTCTTATGTATACTGTAGTAACTAATACTATCCTTGCAACAGCAGAGGGTCATTTTATTATCCCTGCTCTACAGAGGAGCAAATAAGGTCCCAGAAAATGAAGCAACTTGCCTGAGGTCACACAGCCATTCAGTGCGTACCAGGTCTGGGATTCCTGCTAGATTTCTTTGTTCTAAAGTTTTTCATGGAAACTGGTAGTCAAGACAAGTATAGGGAAAAAGTTCCTAATGATGTCAAAACTGCAAAGTTTCATTTTAAAAAGTAGAGATAAACTAATGTGGGACTTGAGGGAGAATGGATTTCTTGTAGCCAAGCATGTCTTCAGGGAATGTTCCATGAAGAAGGGAGTATTTGCACAGAGCCTGACATTCTAGCTCAAGAAAGCAAGTCCCTGCATAAAAATATAAAGAGCAGGTCAGCTTAGCTGGTCAAGACCAGATGTGGAACAGCAGTAGTAAAGAGGATAGGAGAAAATAAGTTTGAGAAGATTCCTGGAGTCAGGTCATGAATGACTTTAGATAGGATTACGAGATAAAATGCAGGAAACTGAGCCAGGAGCTGGGGCTTACACCTGTAATCTCAGCAACTTGGGAGGCTGAGGTAGAAAGATCACTTGAGGCCAGGAGTTTGAGACCAGCTTGGGCAATATCTCTAAAAAGATTTTTTCTTAATGTAGTCGGGTGTAGTGGTGTGCACTGGTAGCCCTAGCGACTTGGGAGGCTGAGGAGGGAGGATCACTTGGGCCCTGGAGGTCAAGCCTGCAGTGAGCTATGATCACACCACTGCACTCCAACCTGGGCAACAGAGCAAGACCCGACTCTCTCTCTCTATATATGTACATATATGTGTATATGTATATATATATATATATATATATATATATATATATATAGAGAGAGAGAGAGAGAGAGAGAGAGAGAAAGAGAGAGAGAGAGAATATATATGTATATATACATATATACATATATATATATATATAAAGAGAAGCTCTCTATATATATATGTATATATATAGAGAGAGAGACTGAGGTATATATATATATATATATATATATATATATATATAGAGAGAGAGAGAGAGAGAGAGATTATATATGTCATATATCTATATAGAAAGAATATATATTATATATTTCCTGGGCTTCATATACATATATGAAGCCCAGTTTGAGTTTTTAAGATAGCAAATAATGCTTAGCTTAAGTATAATCTGGACATATTTCATGGAACATACTTATACTTTAAAAATAGAAGATTTCTTAAAGAACTAAACATAGAACTACCCTTCAATCCAGCAGTCCTACTACTACGTATATATTCAGAGGGAAGAAAATCATTATATCAAAAAAGTACCTGCACTCACATGTTTATTGCAGCACTATTTACAATGCATAAATATGTGATCGACCTCAATGTCCATCAGTGAAGGACTGGATAAAGAAAATGTGATATGGGTATATGTCATGGAATACTACTCAGCCATAAAAATGAATGAAATCAGGTATTTTTGCAGCAACATGGATGGCATTGGAGGCTATTATCCTAAGTGAAATAATGCAGAAAGAGAAAGTCAAATACCTCATGTTCTCACTTATCAGTGAAAGTTAAAGAATGGGTGCTCATGGCATACAGAGGGGAGTCATAGACATTGGAGATTACGATTTATGAGAGAGCTGGGATGGGGGTTGAGGGCTGAAAAATTACTGGTTGGGTACAATGTCTGCTGTTTGGTGATGGGTACACCAGAATCCCAGACTTTACCACACACGATATGTGCCTGTAAGGAATCTGCACTTATCTTTCCTAAATATATTTTAAAATTTTTCTTAAATTTAAAACTCTTTATCTTCAAATTTAACTGGCTATCCTGCTCTTTTATTTGTTATATCTGACCATTTTAGCCTTCAATAAGAGGATATGAAATGAAATGAAAACCTATAATGTCATTTAAGATATGACAAACTTTTTCTGTGAAGAAACTTACAGTAAATTTTTATTTATTTATTTATTTATTTTAGACAAGGTCTCCTTTGCCCAGGCTGAGTGCAGTGGCACTGTCATGGTTCACTATAGTCTCCACCTCCTGGGTTCAAGCAATCCTCCCACTTCAGCCTCCCAAATAGCTGGGACTACAGGTGCACACCACCACACCCAGCTAATATTTTGATTTTCTGTAGAGATGAGGTCTTACTGTGTTGCCCAGGCTGGTCTCAAACTCCTGGGCTCAAACGATCCTCTCACCTCAGCCTCCCAAAGTGCTAGGACTACAGTTGTGAGCCACTGCACCCAGCACTGATAGTAAATATTTTAAAGTTTGCTATTCATGAAGTCTCTGTTGCAACCCAAATCTGCCATTATAGGGCAAAAGCAGCTATAGATAATATATAGACAAATGGGCATGACTGTTAAATTTGAATTTCACATAATTTTCACATGCACCAAATATCATTCTCCTTTAGATTTTTTCAACTATTAAAAATATAAGCACCATTCTGAACCCACAGACCATTTGATAACAGTCAGCCTGCCAGTACTGGCCAGTACCCACCAGCAAATGCATTTTACTCATCCTTGGTTTACATAATTTTTATGCAGACACAGAGTAAAATAATCTAAGAGCTATGAATTCTAACAACTTTTTTCCCAGGAACTCTTAAAATAGGCAGAATGTCCTAGAGTGCATTATAAAATTCCTTTTAATCTAGAATAATAATATTGGCATTTAATTTATTCTAAATGGAATTTAACTCATGTTTATTGAACACATTTAGCAGGTCCTGTGGAATGGGAAGACCGAGAGGATGAACCGATCAAAAAGAAATCTGATGGACCAGGTAACATAATAAAGACAAATATTAGCTGTGGGAACTTTGAAAATGATACCCGTCCAGATGGTATATAATGGAAGACTGCCTGAAGAATTGTGAACTGAACACTGCTCTCTAGACTGTGACTAAATAATCAGTATCCCTTGGAATCTCATCTCCACTGAGATTGCAAAATGACTCCTAAAAGCAGGCCCGGACTTTACGCAGTTGTATAAAATGTTGAATGAGAGTTGGTTTGTAAATTCCTTTATGCAAGCACCTATGAAAGAAGCTTTTAGGGATAAAATTCTTAATATCCCATAGAAGCCATCAGAATGGAGACACACACACAAAAATACTGGCAATTAATTTTAAAAACACAGAAAGGAGGAGGTAAATAGGACTGGGGAAATTAGAGATATTCTAGAAAGTTGGGGCCAACCTCTTTATTAGGAGGGGAAAACCAAGCTGCAGTGAGTTTGTGACTTGTTCTGGATTCCACAATAAGGGACAGAGTCAGAGATAGAACCCTTGTCTTCTAACTCCCGGTCCATTTGTCACAGTGCCATTTGGGCTCTGCATAGTATGTGATTTGGGGGACGGTATCTTTATGCAGGACGAAAAAAGGCAAAATAAAAGCCTCCAAGTGAAATGAACTCAATTCTGTCTAGCTCTCTAATCATGCCATTTCCTCGTCTGCTTCAGAGCACCTGTGCAGGTATCTATCAGCAGGCCAGGTGTCAGGCTCTTTGTCTCCCCACACAAATACTCCCAAGCCTGCCCTCAGCTGGCATGAAAGGAGACTTACTGAAGGCCACCGAATGCCCTCCACCATGCCAGTCCTCAAACCCAGGCTTCCATCTCTAGGTAATTGGACACACATGCGTGTGGACCTGGACACTCTATTATTGCTCCAAAGCCTCACACCATAACAGCAACCAACACTTCAGATCACATGTCTTATTTCTGAGGCACTTTTTCAAGAGTTTGGGGCATATTAATTTGTTTAACCCCCTCAAAACAAGGAACTGAGGCAAAGAGAGATTAACCAACTTAATCTCTTTGTTGTATTAATGAAGCCTATATAGCCACTAAAGGGTAGAGTTGGGATTTGAACCCAAGGAGTCTCAATCCAGAGTGTGTGCTTGTGATGAGTATCACATTGGGGTCACTACCTGAGATGTTGTCTCCTCATGCTGGAGCATCAGCTGTGGCATCAGTCACATCGGTGTCCCTGTTCAGGTGCCAGCTGTGATGAGTGTCATGTTGGGGTCACCACCTGAGATGTTGATCACCACTTGGGGAGGTCTGTCCTGCACACCCTGACTCAATGATGAATGGATAAAATGTGCTCACACACACCATAATACAGTGAATCCGAGTGGGCTAGGGATGGTCATCAGCTGCTTTCAGAGGATGATTGCAGCTAACTGACAATCACTCGCTGCTCCCCTTCACATTTATTCGATATAGATGTAGTAACAGAGGCTCTAAGGTAACATGCTTGTGGATAATTAACATGGTTAAAAGAGTGCTTTTATGAATGATAAAAGGCCTTGGTTCCGAGGCCCAGAATAAACACCATTAACAGGTAATTCCCCTTCAACCCTCCCCTGAGAGGACCATCCAGGACAAAGTTTACATGAGTAAACAGTTAAAGACAAACTAATGTGAGATAAATTGACTTAACTGGGGAAGATTTATTATCCTAATCTTACTCTATGACTTAAAGTTCTAACTTAAGAGCTGGCTGCCTTCAGCCCATTCAATTAAAACCTTTCAGCCTTCCAAAAATTTGAGACTATAATCTATAGCTTTCCCTAACATTTCCCTAATATTTTGCCAGCCATCCTGAGTGAATCCCAACATGTGTTCTTAACCCCTGTGCCCTACTGTCCCTGTGGTTAAACTTGAAGCCTCATTTTCCCTGTTGGTGAGTGCACATGATTCATGTCTCTAGGGCAGCGGCTGCAGCCTTACCATCAGGCCCAGCATAGCAAAACTATGCAGTAATAATGTTTATCTTCATCCTTTCTATGAAAACAATTGTGAATATGAGAAAAATACATGTCAAAAATATAAGGAGCTGCTAAAGTGCATTGATGGGTATAACTCCAAGTCTTTTATTCTCCAGAGACAAGCTTCCCTTCTATGTCTACACAGAGCAGCTAGAGACTCTATCTGAACGAGTGTGAGAACTACATACCTTGCTGACAATTTTGTCAAGAGTATGAGGAAGGTTGGGGAGGGAAATGTAGGTGCTCATGGCAGCTCCTGTTTAGCATCCGCAGCGACTCGCTTCATTCAGCTTCAAGCAGTGGCTGTTCTCTTCTGTGTCTCCTCACTCAGCAAAAGATGCCCTCTCTTTTCCTTGCTTCCTAAATGTACCTCATGGAAGACTCTTAGGTGTGACACCATTTGGAGGAGGTTTGGGTGTTGCCGGGCAGTGACAGCCCACGTGGGAAACAGTCTCACACAGAACATCAGACATCACTATATAGACGTATTATATAAATGAGCTAGAGAAAATGTCATGAAGAAAATCAGAAAGAAGAGAAAATACAGTTAATATTCACTAAGTGAAAGTGGACCATCATAAAGCTCCTCATCCTTGGTATTACATGTGCAGGGCAAGAGCCAGGTCAGGCTTTGTAAAACATCCCTGTGCTACACAAAAGCAAAGTCAATGATATTTTCTTCCTTTAAAATCTTGTTGCTTTTCTTCCTCTTAGATAATATCATCAAAAGGATATTTAATATTTTGAAATTTACCTGGGTCCTATTTCTGGCAACAGTGGACAGTTTTACTACTTGGCTTAACTCCATTTCAAGGGAGCATATTGATATATCTACAGTTCTAAGAATTGAACGATGCATGCTGACCAGAGAAATTAAGAAGGTAACACTATTGATGTAATTCTTTTTGCTTCTTCCCACATTAAGAAGAGATGAAAAGTCAATGTCCAAAACTCCAGGTAGGATAAGACCAAATCCTTTCTTTCCAGGCAATTTTTGCGTAACCCCTTTGCTTTTCTGTATATTTAAATCTATTCCACACTAGAATTAAAATAATCAAATGTACATGCACATGCACCTATACACATACACACACATCTCACAGGATCATGGCAACTTTTATTCACCCTATCCCTCCCCTCACCACAGTTTCCAGGAGTACAGACTTTGTTCTGGTTCTGTATCCCTATATCTAATACAGAATTATAGTTTTAGTCTAGAAAGTGTAGCAAGTGTTTTTGTTTGTTTGTTTGTTTGTTTTTGTTTGTTTGTTTTTTGCACATTGAAGTCTGGAAAATTTGATCTGAAACTTTTTTATAAAGTAGGACATATGCAGAATAATGAAATACGTGGTTTAAAAATTATATTTAAAAATAATAGTTCATTTCTTGAAAAGTTACGATTTAGCAAAATTGTCTACTTATAAGAAGACATTTATTTAGATCTAACTAGTAATATTGGAAACCACTTATTAAATGAGTCGACAACAATCCCCACTTGCCTAGCATTGTCCTAATCCTTATCCAGGCATGAATGGGTATGAAAAGCTGTCTGCGTTGAGAAAGGCCGGGTAGCTATGCAGGCAGGTTCCTCCCTAAGAACTGTGGCAATGTCTCCATCTCCTCAGGGCAATGTTCCGACTCGGGAGAGCATCCACATGTACTATCAGAACCACATCATGAACCTTTCCAGAGAGTCGGGGCTGGACACCATTGACGAGCATCCCGGAGCTGCTTCAGGTGCACAGACAGCCCACAGGATGGATAGTTTAGATTCACATGACAGCATCTCCAGGTATTTCATGTTCTAACAATGGGTTTACTTTTGACAAAGGTAAATGAGGTGGATGCCATTAAATATAAGAAATGAATGTGTGAGGTGAAAGTTAATCAAAACCATGCATGGACCCCCATCCTCTTCCAGCTGTCTCCATCTGTACAGCAAACTAAAAGGAATATTGTCCTCGTCCAGAAGGAACCAGATCAAAGCAGATATCAGTAAGACACTATTAGCTATACCCATATGACCCAAAGGCACAGTATAGAGATTTTCAAGCTGGAGGTAAGGAAGAATGATCCCTCCCAACCCCAAAGTGATTACTTGTGTCAAGGGCTACATCTTCAGTGCTTTTCAAAATAGCTGATTCACAAAGTGTCTTCTACACTAGCATCTTCTGTTTCTATCCTTGATCTTTCCCTTCAGAAGTGTCACCTTAAGGTTTATAATAAAAATTCCCAAAAAGTATTCTGTTAGCTTCCATATTCTCTGAGTTTACTATTATATGCATTATTTCACAACAGGATTGTCAGATGACACAGTGCTAACGGATTCGCCAGGGGCCAGCACTAAGCACTATACTGAGTTACCTCATTTTATCCTCTAAGCCCGTACAAGACGCATGCTCTCATTAACCCTGCTTTGCAAAGACAGAATTTAGTTACAGAGAGATTAAGAAACATACCCAAAGTCACACAGCTAGGTTGTATATAAAAGTGGACTCACAATCCAAAATCACGTGGTTTAGCTCAGAACCCAAATTCTAAACCACCCTAGTATGCTGTCTCTCATTGCCTCTTCCTGCAAAGGCCAACTTACTGCCTGTCCCAGAAAAGCCTCGAATTCTTTGCATTACAGTGTTGTGGATAGATGCTGACAATTGTACAGAGCTAGATTCCAAGTTAAGCAGGAGACCCTCTCTTATGAGGAAAAATCAACTTGCTCAGAGTGAAGAGCTAGACCAAATGAATTACACCTTATAGCCACCTTCACAGGTAAAGAATTGTGTCACTGAGAACATTCGTGCTTCATTTTTTTTTCATTAAACATGTTGAAAATCATCTATCCTGTGCCGACCCCTGGGCTTGATTCTTGGACAGGCATCTAAAGATAAGAGCAGTCTCCTAAATGGTTTGAGCCTAGGAAGAACTGAGATAAGGCTATTGTGTCCTAAAATGCCTGCCCTGGGGAGTTCAGTAGAGATTGGTGTCTTTGACTGCTGGTCAGAAACTCCCGGATGGTGTTAGAGTCACACTTTAGAGCAAGACACTAATGACTCATAGAAGTAATTGTCCTTCACAAATTCTGGGTATATTTTCAGATGAAGTAGGAGAGGGAGTTGGGACCATTTTATTGATACCAAACCCAAAATAGACAACTGGATGTTAGAATTATAAACCAGGCTGGGCGTGGTGGCTCACGCTTGTAATCCCAGCACTTTGGGAGGCCGAGGTGGGAGGATCACGAGGTCAAGAGATCAAGACCATCCTGGCCAACATAGTGAAACCCCATCTCTACTAAAATATAAAAAACTATCTGGGCATGGTGGCGCACGCCTGTAGTCCCAGCTACTGGGGAGGCTGAGGCAGGAGAATTGCTTGAACCTGGGAGGCAGAGCTGAGATCGCGCCACTGCACTCCAGCCTGGCGCCTGGTGACAGAGCTAGACCCTGTCTCAAAAAAAAAAGAATTATAAACCAAGCGAGGAGATGTGGGTAAAAAAAAGTTTTACCCTAAAGTGCTATTTAACTGTTGCTGCATTCCTGTATTTGAGCCTCTCTAATTATGCCTATTATTTTGCTACCCAATAAATATTATTGAAGCAGATCCATATTTATTTGTATGAAAAGATCTTTGTGATATATATACACAGTAAAATTTATACATATATTTAGTAAAAATTCAAATTTTAAAATAAGATGGATGCTAAGCCCAATTTAAAATATATATATGCATGCCTACATTAAATTAGAAGTAATATTTGTAGAGATTACACAGTGCATAAATATATCCCTGCCTGCCCTTCTAAAGTAGGTATTGATTATTTTAAAGTCTTGAGGGATGATAAAAGAGACTATATTTTTCCTTTAATTTGTTAATAATCTTTGCTTATTTATAAGTTCCAAAGACACAGATATTTCATCTATTACTGTATATCTTTTGTGGAAAGAAGAAACATTTAGTACAGAAACTCTTTTTGATTTCAAAGTCAAATATTTGTTTCCTAATTGAGATTCTGTTTAAAGTTTTAATTCGTAGAATAAAATAATTTATTATTAGAAAAATGTGTCATGATAATAAAACTTTATTTTTCAGTGTCTTTCTACCCAAGAATATGCATGTTTTTCAATTATTAATTTCTGAAACCATTAGTAAAATCAAAAGTTACAAAGAGAAAATTTAATATCATATCTGTCCATTGGTGAGTGTTACCAGAGCCTCATTGTGTCTTCCTAAGAACTTCCCACAATCAATATTTTGAAAGGGGAGCTTCTGTCTTTCTCTTTGACAGATTCCATTCAGACAAAAGGTCATTCTTTATGATGAATTTAATTTTTATTTTTTGAAAACTGTTATAACCATTCTATTTAGAAGCTTTCAGATGTATTAAATTCATTCTTATTGCAACAATTCTCTCCCTACCAATAGATCAATGTATTTAAACTGAATCATTCTCTCTTTAATTCAATTCAATGCATTTAATTCATTTTAATGCTAAACTTAAAATCTGTGCCTAGCCCTTCTTACCTAAGCTCTTACACAGTCCCTTCATTCTACAGGGACCCTGCATGGGCAAGTCTGTGAAAGCTGACAGGTTCATGCAGCAGGGTGGGCGAGAGCCGAGATTTGTCCGAGTGTAGTGGGCACTCAAGATGCTGACTGGTGCTGCTTCCTAGTTACAGGGTGAATGAAGGGAAATTGGAGAATCTAAAAGTTTCTAAATCTACCCACTTTAGGAATTATTAGTGATCAAACAACCATTTTTCGAAAAGTAAGAGAATGATAGGATGAAAGGAATGCTGAGACTCTCTACACTTCCATGTCCCACATGGTGTTTCTTTTATTCATTCATTTATTTTTACATAACATTCACATGCATCCCACTACTCTCAGCTTTGGACTGTGTTGATCTGTATATATCCAATATGGCCTGGATCTAATTTAAACTGTGTCTTTATTACTCCTAAATTCTAAAATAAAAGACTCAGACATCTCTAGTGAACTTAAACAAAAGTCATGACCATATTCAACTGGAATCATTTCTTCCTGTGCAGTGAAAAATACGATCATATACATGTGTAGCATCGAGTTTGACTATTGCACCTTTGCATCTTTCTTCAAGAAAATATGCTGCCCCATCATGTGATTTGTAGAAATTTTCAAACGCCTTTTTTTTTAACCTCCCTTCTTACTTCATTTTATAATACAGAGATTTTTTTTGAATCTCCAAGTGTGGCAAGTGAAATGGGTAATGAATAGAATAGCCTTTCTTCATTAATTCGTGATGACACTAACAGTAATTGGTGACATTTTTTAATGAACTTCTTTTGAAATTTCATGAAGCCATATAGTCTCCCACAGGGAAAAATCATACATAGATACAAATTATTTTTCATTCAATCTCCAGGGTTTTGCAGGCCTCCTGAATATCACACATAGGCCTGGCTTGAAAAAAGCTGCTCTAGAACCAAACTCTGAATCAGTAGCCTTGGAGAGTATTTGAAGGTGAATTGAAAATAAATTTTTGATGAAATAAACATAGGTGAATCCCGTCTTTATGTCTTTTAACTGCATAATAATGGACAATATGCCCCATTAAGAAATTAAATATTATAAATCACAATTAAGGAGGAAAAAAACTGGTTAAAATGAAGTCAAATAACTGCCTTTAAGTCTGACCTCAGATTGCAGACAGGAAACCATATTCATGATGAAAAATTGTGAGTTAGGAGGTAAACTCCTCGATTGCTTTTTGACAAAGACTGTCAAAATATCCTCCCAATTTTAAAATGGTCACTCAATAAATACAATGACTAGTAGGAAACCGGCACCTTTAGAATTAGGTTTCAATGTGTTTTTATTTTATTTTTCAGCCGAAAGAAAGGGGAGACAGGATAGGGCCCATCTTGTTGCCAGTAAAGGAGTTACCATACTTTCCCTTTTTTGCAGTGAGCCATATTCCTAGGTTCTCTGCTTTAGAAACTTTCAAATCTCCAAATAATTATTTGTCTACACTGGAGTCTCCAGGAAGCCATGCTGATTGTTGGAAAGGTAGTAACCTTCCCTAGAAGAGGCCCTGCAGTGGAAGTCATTGGGAAGGGTCTGGTGGCCACGTGGTTGCCACTCCCCAGTGAGGTTGCACTCACCTGGTGTGGCCATTGCCCTTCATGGCACCTGCTCTGAGGCCAGTGGCATGAATTTTGCCTTTCAGCAGACAGTAGATAGGGTCTGGGTGGGAGCCTAGCAAGTGGATTTGTAGTCCCTTTGACTTAGAAGAATAGTCAGTTTCTTTCAAATCCGTATGTAAAATGGCAAACATTTTTTAATGGCTGCTTTATATAACCAGTTAACATTACCATCCCAGAAAATATATTAGCGTAAATTGCTACAGAAAACATTCGTTAACATTCTCAGGGGCATTCCCAGATATGAAGGAGGTGGTTATTAGCTTAAATCTGTCCCCTGAGTGTTGCCTTGTCTTCCTGCACGGTGCCCGAAGTGCCTCCCAGTGGGGGGCCGTCAGGGGAGTAATGGCAGCCATTCCGTCGGGCCTGCTGTCTGGGCCTATTTTAATACATTTCCTCCCCTTCCCATTCACTTTTAAACTGTCCTGGACTGGGTGACTTATTAGTTGCCCTATAGGAAACCCAATTGTGTGGGACGGTGTAGTTTCTGAGAACTCCACCCAAGAGTTAACAAGATCAACAGGGATTTTGAATTAGAACCGTCAGTTCCCATGAAGAAAACCTAAGCAAAGTTTCAGGAGACTGCACAGGCTGTGAGGTTGCATCTCTGCAAATATTAAATGAAATACAGAAGTGTGAAGTCTCTTCATCTCAGAAACATAAAACTGGGGCACCAGAAAGGGGCACTGATTCATCTAAAACCCAACAGCCGATTAATGTCAAAATGTCAGCATCCCAGCCCTCACTTTGTTCATCCAATGCTTTTCTCATTTGTCTTGTTATTGTCTCCTCATTTTGTCCAGAATATGGTGACATGGTGACATCTAAAGGAGTTAGGGGGGAAAAACAGCCTCCATCACCTTCTAGAGAGTATTTTGGTTGCTCAAGGCTCTGCCCTCACTGCTTGCCCCTGTCTTGGCCACATAGCTGTGACATGGACAGCAGCACAGCCGGTCCCACTGCAGCAGTTATGTCTTGTGCTCCAGCATATGGGATAAAAAACTTTTTAACAGGTTCCATGAGAGAATAACTCAAATTCCCTCCTCCCAGGCTTGCCGTGGTCATTGCATCCTGAACGCCTTCCGCCTCTGCCCCAGGATCCTTGGCTGACAGTGTATGGCTGTGCAGGCCAGGCACCTAGTATTCTCCTAGTGAGTTCACTTGATGACAGAATTCAGCTTAGCAGGTTCAGCCTGGAAATCAGGCATTCTGTATCTCTAAGGATCTGTTTCTGTTCCCTGGGTCAGCCAGCCCATGAGCACTCAAGTTGGAAGATAAAGTATTCCAGTTGCCTTCTGTAGAGGATCTTTGGGCTGTCTGTCCCTCTTTGGGGTTGAATCGTGTGCGGAAAGTGAAACTATGCCTGGGTCACACCTCTGTGTGCTTCCTCTCATGGGGCATCCTCCCCAGCAGCATCCTAGGCTGAATCTGCCATCCTCCCTCCCCACTCACTGCTCTGTTGGGTACCAGGAGATGAGGATTTTAGGCAGTGGGTTCTTGCCACCATGGCATCCACCAAGCCCTAAAACATGATGCAGAAAAAAATTAGGCATAATGAAAAGTTAACAGACAAAATGACCCTGCCATTGCTCAAGCTCCTTTGTTCTTTCCTTTACAGCCTTTTATTTTATTTCTGATGTTGGTTTATATACATGGCATATTAAACCAGCATCCCTACTACATGCAAAGCATCTCGTTTGGCTTAACTGAATATCACTCCAAAGATGGGGTGCAAAATTCAGTTTGTTGTCATTCCTGAGTTTCCCCTCTCTAATTTTGAAGACTGTGCTAAAAAGAAAAAAAAGATTGAAATCTTTTATATAAATTCTACATGAGCAGTTATTTCTGCTTAACCAAATTGGTTAATAAATGCTCTCAACTCAGGACTGCAAGCTCCAAATAAAGCATATTTTCTTTCATTTAAAAAACCCCTCTGTTATGAAGTTTAATTATATAAATTCTACTTTGTGAGAAAAATATTGGGACTTGTCATTTTTCTATTTCTTAATCCCACCCAGAGAGCACCATTTTGTAATGTGTCACTAGCCAATATGTTTTTACAATCCAGTACTCTTGCGTTTTAAGGTCCTGCACACAGGTCCTTCCCTGTCCCCAAGCCCGGCTGCGGTGGCCTTCCTTGTCGGTGGTGTTGGTGTCATGTGTGGTTTGCTGCATGGCAGTGTGTTGGTCAGTTGATCCATGTGTAACCTGATGTACCACTTGGTGTTTTAACACTGTGTTTCTGTAACTGTTTGCGCTGCTAGCTGCTACACTGAAGCAACCATGCTGTTCTCAAGGCAGTCCACCCTTGATGATTTAGATGGACAAGAAATTCCTAAAACAAGCGAGCGCGCTCGGCCTAGGCTCCGTAAAATGCTCAGCATGGATATGTCCTCCTCTTCAGCTGACAGTGGCAGTTTAGTATCAAGGTGCTTAACTTGTGCATGCTTTGTTCTGTCATTTTAATCACCTCTTCCCCCGTTTATATCACTGCAAATATAAGTTCTGTTGACATATGTTTTTATTTCATTTTTATTTTAATAAACTGCATGACTAACAAAAGCATAACCACTGACCTCTTTGAGATGTAATTGTTCTCAAGACAGCATTATATTAAACTAACAGCTCTTTAGTTTTTGACTGTTAGGAGTGTTTTTTTTAACTCCTTATCATAAACATTCTCCTCCATTTTTTCAGTATTTCACACTTTCCATTTTCAGAGACATAAGCATGTTTCCTTTATAATTTAGAGCTTCTGTGGACACCACTCAAAGGAGGAAATCTGTTAGCAAAGGTAGAAAACTTTTTCTCATGATTTAATCAAAAGATGCATGCAGTAGGAAGAAACCTAAAAATGTGTCATAGGTTGTCATTTTTAGTAAATATTGAATAAGTCTACATGTTATATGCCTAACTGACATGAAAGTCAGAATATAGTTTACCACTGGTTTTTAACAAGAATATTATGCAGCACAATGCTTCATCTTTGTAGCCAATAACTTGTATTTTGTGGAAAAATTACTGTGGCTTAAGTTCTCTCAAATCCCACCCCAAAACAGTATTCATTTAGAAATCAAATTATTTGCGTACAACCCCAAAACTCTTTTTGAATTGCCTTAGGATGGTCATAGAAGTCAGCAGCTACACTGTGCTTCTCCTGACATGAAAACAGCCCAATCCAAACTGAGTCTCATATTGTCTGCTCACAGTGGCAAGTCAGAGGGCATCTTCTTTTCACTGGCGCTGTATATCTCAATGCAGCCCTGCAGTACGCTGGCACCTGGCATTGACGGGAATGCCTTGCCATTTGGCAAGTCCTCTGGCAGGCACATACCTGCCATATCAGTCCATTTTCTTGGCCTCTGAAGGTACCCTCAGCCCCTTGGTGCCACAGGACATCCAAACCAGAGGGAGCGTGCTTAGGATTGATTAGTCCTACTGGCCATGAGATCTGTTGTGGGATTGGCTCCAGTAGTCTGGAAGTTCCCTGGGCAATGAGTTAATTGCATGGCTTTCCTAGGAGGGATATCTAATTGAGGTAAGTCTTAGCAAAAATCTGGTTTGGCCTGGCATTTCAACAGCCCCTCCATGATGTACATACTCGAGGACACAACCCTGGGGATTCTGAACACCTGAGCGGGCATCAAAAGCTCATGCCAACCTGGTTCTTCAGTTACAGGATGCCGGGAACAGCTCTGCCAAGGTTCATTCATTCATTCATTCACTCATCTACATGTCTACACTGGCATCTGTGACAAGAAACAGGGTACAGTCTATGCATTTGAGAATCTCAGTGTTTATGGAACGTAGGGGGTCACACATGCTATTCAGATCACAGTACATACTTCAGAGTCTAACACATCAACCTCCCACATCCTCCAGATTCCCAGTCTTCAGGTGGGCTTTGCCCCTCTCCCCTCCATGTGTCCAAGGTAGAGCAAGCCATGAATGTTACCGGGTGCCTTCTTGTCATGGCCAACCTTGTCTGCATGGACCTGACAGGGAAAGTTAAAAGAATGAAGTAACAAAAGAAGGAGATGAAGGATATGAGAGAAAAGAACAGAATGCCAAACACAGGGAGTGAGGATGAGAGTAGAGAAGCTTCTGGAAAATGAGCACTTGAAGAGGAACTGGTAGAAGAAAATAAGTAAAGTTGTCGGGAAGAGAGAACAGAAGCGCACCCTGGGGTGAAGTGGGCAGCGGGAAGGGTCAAGGATCTAGGAGAGCTCACACGGGGAGAGTGGCTGGAGTCCCGTGGGGAAGGGAAGCCCTGGGCACAATACAGGGAGCTGGGGCCAGGGTGGAGGTTCCGCAGACATAATGCACAGAAATGCAAAAAACGCAAAGGATGGAAAAGCAGGGAGGAGGAACAAACGTGAAAGAAGGGTGGCATTTCTTATCAAGCACACAGCTGTTCAGTGTAGCCAGTATTTAATCATTCCTGGTCCCCACTTATGGTCTGGGCGGGTCTGTTGTGTAGGATGGAGGGTAGAATAGCTATGCGCTAAGACTTAGCCTCGGTCAAAACCTTCAGAGCATCTCCCATCCAGAGATGCTCCTTGAAGCAGACGGAGCAGTGGGTAAGCTCTGCTGTGTTGATAGGGAAACAGACTTTGGAACCCGAGGCTATGAATCTGGATACTCCACACTTGTTATGGGGGTGGGTTTTGCTCTTTGAGAGTCACGTGACTGGCTCTGGTTCTAAACTGTGTGTGTGCACTGTCAACATTTGCACTGGAGAGGCTGCTGTTTGCAATGTCTGCAGAACAGAAGTGATTATTCTAAAAGAACAAAGCAGATGGAATGCAATAAAAACAATGGGGCATTTCCTTAGGAGTTCTGATGAGGTCTCTCAGGCATAGGAAAGAACCCCAGGAGTGTGGATGCTAAGACATGGGCTCTGTGCCCACCCTTTCTCCCGACAGCGAGCCCACGCAGTGCACCATGCTGTACTCACGCCAGGGGACTACTGAGACCATCGAGGAGGTGGAGGCTGAGCAGGAGGAGGAGGCAGGGAGCACGATGCCTGAGTCCGGGGAGGCCAAGGAGTATGAGGCTGCAGGGTACGATGTGGGAGCCGTGGGTGCCGAGGAGGTCAGCCTCACCCCAGAGGAAGAGCTGACACAGTTCTCTACCCTGGAAGGGGACGTGGAGGCCCCTCCCTCCTACAGCAAGGCTGTGAGCTTCGAGCACCTGTCCTTCGGCTCACAGGACGACTCTACAGGCAAGAACCACATGGCAGTCAGCCCTGATGACAGCCGCACCGATAAGCTGGGGTCCAGCATCTTACCTTCCCTGACCCACGAGCTGACGGCCAGTGAGCTGCTGCTGAACAAGTAAGGGTCCAGTGAGCAGATCAGACATGTATTCTGAAATCACCACTTAAACATATGCTTTAATTCTGCATATAGAAAAATTTGTATATAGAAAAAAGTTCACCTAGACACTTAGAGCAAATAGACGATTCCAGGACTTGGAATCGTCTAGAACCAGCAAAACCTGTCAGTAGAGCCTTGTGTTGACGTTTTTCTATAATAAAGTCTGATATTAAGTTATCTCTGAAGGAAAAATGGGGACATAGGAAGTGGGGGACACAGCAGGAAGGATAGTACTAAATGAAAATCAGCAATTTGAAGAAATTAAAGACAGACGTGGCCAGGCCCGATGGCTCACGCCTGTAACCCCAGCATTTTGGGAGGCCAAGGTGGGTGGATCACCTGAGGTCAAGAGTTCAAGACCACCCTGACCAATATGGTGAAACTCCCTCACTACTACAAATACAAAAAATTAGCTGGGCATGGTGGTGGGCATTTGTAATCCCAGCTACTCGGGAAGCTGAAGCAAGAGCATCACTTGAACCTGGGGGCAGAGGTTAGAGTGAGCCAAGGTCACGCCATTGTACTCCAGCCTGGGCAACAAGAGCAAGACTTCATCTAAAAAACAAAAAGACATATTATCACATGGTTTACTTTAACAGGATGTTTCACGACGATGAGCTTGAAGAGTCAGAGAAATTCTATGTGGGGCAGCCTCGATTTCTGCTGCTCTTCTATGCCATGTACAACACCCTGGTTGCCCGCTCGGAAATGGTGTGCTACTTCGTGATCATCCTCAACCACATGGTCTCGGCCTCCATGATCACTCTCCTCCTTCCCATCCTTATCTTCCTCTGGGCCATGCTGTCCGTCCCCAGACCCAGCCGCCGGTTCTGGATGATGGCCATCGTCTATACTGAGGTAGGTCTGGGCGCAGACTGCTGTGAATGGCTTCGGGCAGCTATGCAAGGGGAAGCATACCTTGTGTCCCTGTGCCCTCTCTCGAGAGGGGCCTTCCCTCACCCTGGTCAGCTTCACTTGGAACACGCAGTTCCATAGACATTCTTAGGTACACAAATCATACAGTACCAAGAGTTACCTAGCACTCGCAATTCTAAAAATCTTTTCACACTTCACACCTATCACACACGGTGGGTGCTGCCGTCATTCCCGTTTAACACAATAAGGACACAACACCAATGAGATTAAATAAATGGCCCAAAGTTGCCCAGCTGGTGAGGGGTAGGGGAGGCTTTTGAAGCCTAGTTGCCTTTCCTAAAATATTAACCACTGAGATGATAAAAGGCTTCTGCAGAGCTGAGCACAGTGCCTGGCGCCGCAGGCGGTCCAGTGAATGGACTGAGGTAAGTTACACCGTCTAGCACTTAGAACATAGTTTGAATACATCATGCATAGTTTTCGTGTTTAAATGTAAAAGTAAATTTCCATACATTGCAACACAAAATTGTACAAGCACCCACTTAGCATCTGAAGGGTGGATGCCAGCCTGTTTACCTCCCATTGAGGTATGAGGAGCCTCTACTCACTCTTCTGGTCCTGCTTTTCTCTCCTGCCCTGTTCAGCATAGACAGGATCACAAATGCCCATGAAAACCATAAAGGAACTAAAATAAAAGCTTGATATTCTTGGTGCCTGGAAGACTGTGGTGCTTTGTGTTCTCAGGTTTATGAAGAGACTGATTTTTTCCCCTGACTTGTAAGGAAAAGTTTTCCATTTCAACAGTGCTGTAATTACTTCTTAAACGACAGTGCCCATCCTAGATGCACACTCAAAGCCTAGAAGTTTTGTAGGTTATAAGTAATTCAGTAGCAAAATTAAAACAAAGTTATGCACTAAACCATCTCAAAAGTATTTGGTTTAAAGTATTGATAGCATGCATCTTGTTTCCATAAGGAAAATAAAGGGTGTGAAGTCAGATACATACCTATTGCTGAATTGGCTGATCCAAGTTAATCATTCTTAAACTTTGCTTTCATTACATCATTTCAGGATGTAAATGACTCCCTGTTTAGGGAATGGGTACCAGTCTATAACAATGTGAGTACATTAATCAGATTCCCTTTCCTACCTAGGGCTGAAATAACAGGAGGTACCAAGAATGTGGAAAAGGGAACAAGAGCTTCTTGTATTTTATTTTTAAAGTAAAACCTTAAAAATAAAATATTTCTGGCTGTAATCCCAGCGCTTTAGGAGGCCAAGGCAGGAGGATTACTTGAGGCCAAAAGTTCAAGACAAGCCTGGGCAACATAGCGAGACCCCATTTCTACATCTGTAGTCCAAGCTACTCGGGAGGCAGAGGTGGGAGGATTGCTTGCACCCCGGAGTTTGAGGTTGCAGTGAGCTATGATTGTGCCACTGCATGCACCGTGGACAACAGATTGAGGCTTCATCTCTAAAAACATAAGTAAAATATTTTTATATAAGTTAAGTTGAGGCTTTCCCTTTTCTTGTCACATTGCACTGAGGACTGAAATAAGTGGGAAATTCTTGATGTTGATTTAGTCTATAATACAAACCACGTGCCAGAAACCAAGAACCCTGCTAGGCACAAGTATACAAAGATGAGTAGAAAACAAAGGTGAGTAGAAAGCAAGTAGTAGCTTCTGTTTTTCAGTGGCTCCCAGACTAATGTGGCACGCAGATATGATGGAGGAAAGTGAAAACTGCATACATCATAACCATGTGTTATGCTCCTATAGTTTAAGGATTAAATATAGAAACTAGGAAGATGTTAATATGTTCTGTTCGGGTTTTCCCTAAATACCATATTTAATAGCTGACTAATTATATACATATCTAATTAAATCAGTATGAATGCCAACACCTCAAAAATAGAGGAATGACCAATCAAAGGGGTGACCTGAGGAGCCTGACAGGCTTTGCTTGATCCACAGTGGAAGACACCATGACAGCCAGACACTGCTTCTGTTTTGAAGTCAATAGTCTGCTTAATTTTTATAATGCTCTTTTCCATAGACAGGTGTATCTATTCCTAAAAGAAGGAGTAATTTTTTAAAACTTCTGTCATCTTTATGTAGGTGGCAATTGTAGTCAAGTATTTCTTCCAATTTGGGTTCTTTCCCTGGAATAAGACTGCGGAGCTGAACAAAGATAAACCGTACCACCCCCCGAACATCATAGGAGTGGAAAAGAAGGAAGGTTATGTTCTTTATGACCTCATCCAGCTCCTGGCTCTGTTCTTTCATCGATCAATTTTGAAGGTACAGCATGTTAACAGTTAATCAGTTCCAGTTGGAAGTTGGTCATCACAGCCCCTGCAATATTCCTAGATAACCCGGACATCAGGATTGCTGATGGGGCTGAGGGGCCAGTGGGTGGCATCTACTCATATGCTCTTTTAAAAAAAGAAAAAGTAAAGTAAAATATTACATTCATTCAGTGGACATTTTTTCCAACACTTAAGGTGCTCAATAATGGAACTTAGAATAAATCTGGGAGAATATTTACCCATGTTTCCAACCTAAGTTAAATGTGCAATGTTCCACTTTTGTGGAACATTGCTTGAATGATGTCTAATATCTTAATGCCAGATACACTAAATTCTGCCCCTGGTTTCAGCCAGAACATCAAAGAGCCACGATGTCCATGGATCATAATGTCTCATCTCCATGCCAGCTTCCGCCTCCCTTCTTCTAGTAGAATCGCTTTCATTGGGTGGTTTCTTGCCATCAAACCATTAGCTGTTGGGGACAGACCACATATTCAGTCGCCCAGTGAAGCCCAGAGCTGTGCTTCCTCCTGCTTGTTGCAGAGGAGATCACTCATGACCCTGCTTGAGGAAGGCCTTTACACAACATGGCCCTGCCTCAGCCCCAGGGACTCCTGTCCTTCTCAGTGACTTCGTGGGTCCTTCCTTCTCATATGCTGTGAATTATAAACTAAGCCTGTAAACATGCCATTTAATTCTAATAAATAGAAATTATTGCATAGCATACATTGAATGTACTTCTTGTCACAATCTTACTTTCTATCTCTCATTTTAACCTTGTCTTCTTATAGAAAATATTTTAAATTCCTTGTATCAAGAAATATCTTTCTTAGTCCCTAGAAGTCTTTTTAGAACAAGGCTTGGCGTGAGTTAATACATACACCTACATATACATACAGGCACACATAGATAAGTATCAGTGTGTTTAACTTCTTCCCTAGCTCAGGGAGCTACATCAAACTCGGTTTCATCTGAGTATACTCTGGTCAGCCTCCTCACTGTAGCTTCCATCACTTTGCAAAGCACCCAAGCCCTCCATTTGGAGGGAGGCTTATCTGGGTCATTGGGCTGTGGTGGGTTTTTGAAAGCTGTGTTATCTAAGGAAGCCAGTTAGCCAAAATGGAATTTGCCTAAATTTTACAGTTCTTCTAATGGATATGTTAATTACTTGAATTTATTTACTATACTGATTTTTGTTATGAATATATTAATAAGTGTATTGACCTTGTTTTTTTAGTCTTAGAAATTCATTTTTTGTAAATTTTGGTATTTAACATTTGATGGTATAATTTTGACCAATTCAGAATTCTCTTGAAACCTTTGCCTTCTTTTGCATCATTTAAAATTATCATAACTCTTTAGGGCATTTTACTGTCTTTTCATCAATATTTAAATGGCTTAACTGCTACAATTTTATATTTTAAACATATAATAAAATCTTTGTGTTTCATATTGATGTTCTTACTCTGTTTTTGAAAAATTCAAATATATGAATATATGTGAGATTTGTGGTAATGGCATTATGTGAAAATTTTAAATAAGGATATAAAATACTTTTCAGAATGATAGATCTTTTCTTAAGAAGACAAGCTAACTCATAGTTTTGAAAAAATAAATCTTTCATATAATGTTTCCATGAAAACCAAACAATTAAAACTGCAGAAGTTTTAAAAGTGCAATAAATAAATAAACAAACAAACAAACAAAGTGCTTGAAACCATCCTATTTAATATCAAATTGCTTTATATTTGATAAATAATTAGAAGAATTAGCAAACAAGAAAATATACTACTGAGAAAGTTGCGAAAGAATTTAAATATATGAATGTTGGCAAAAGAGGAAACAACTCTTAAAATAATTGGAAAGAAATCCATATAAACTGAAAAATCCCATTATGAAAAGCTAAAATGTTTGTTATGTTAATAAGAATACATTCATTGAATATGTTTAAGAATAACATATTTACAAATAAATAAGAAACATCTGTCCATTGAGTGATCGGTGGACTGATCATTCTCAGAGTTGGTTTTGACCAACTGATTTCTGATAAATTGGCCTGGAGCTCTTGTCCTCCACATATAAGTCAGAGGGAGGACCAGGCAATGTCTTGGGGAGCAAATGCATGGCCAGACAAAGGGCTCAAGGGAGAGCTTTGTCCGACAGCAGCAAGGTCATAAGGGTGACTTTCCGTTCAATAAGTCAAGTCACTATAATTTCATCCTGAGTTCTTCTGCCAAAAGTTATCTGTCTCCATTTTAATTATCAGCTAAAATCTTATTGTCTACACTCACCCATCTGTCCCCTACTGGGATCCTCAAAAAGCACTAGACAAGCTTTCTTTTCTTGTGTGTTAGTCTGTTTTTATACTGTTGATAAAGACATACCTGAGACTAGGCAATTTAAAAAAAGAGGTTTAATGGACTTACAGGTCCACATGGCTGGGGAAGCCTCACAGTCATGGCAGAAGGCAAGGAGAAGCAAGTCACATCTTATGTGGATGGCAGCAGGCAAAGAGAGGAGGGCTTGTTCAGGGAAACTCCCTTTTCCATACCCATCAGATCTGTGAGACTCATTCACTATCACTAGACTAGCATGGGAAAGACCTGCCCCCATGATTCAATTACCTCCCACAACACGTGGGAATTCAAGTTGAGATTTGGGTGGGGGCACAGCCAAACCATATCATCTTGTTTTTCTAATCTTGAAGGACAGTTTGTTGGATGAGATTTTGTAGGACAGAATACAAATGGTTCCACCTGAAATAGTAGCCTCAATTGTCCCTGTCTCCGCTTCTCAGTGCCATGGCTTATGGGATGAAGATGACATGACTGAAAGTGGCATGGACAAGGAGGAATCAGATGATGAGCTTTCCCTCAGTCACGGCAGGAGGGACTCCTCTGATTCTCTCAAGTCCATCAACCTGGCGGCATCCGTGGAGTCAGTGCATGTGACCTTCCCAGAGCAGCAGACAGCTGTCCGGAGGAAGCGCTCCAGCACCAACTCTGAGCCATCCCAGAGATCCAGCTTTTCTTCAATCAGATCCCAAAGAGGTATCTGTCAACACAATATATCTAGGCTGTAGTTAGCTCCCAGGTGGCCTTTTTTTCTCTGGTGCCTCTGGGTCTGGGGCAAGATGGTGTATTGGGTGCTATCAAGAGACAGACATTATTATGTGAAAAGAAAGGGCTTTGAAATCAGAGAGACCCGAGTCCAAATCCTGCCTCAGCTGTGTAACATCTCTGTTCAAAATCTTATTATCTCAGGACAAGGGTTTCAGACAATTGTGAAAAGTGGCCGGCACACTGCCTTGTCCCTAATAAATGCCAGGCTCATGATAATTTTTAATTTACATGCAAAAAATCTGCAGGGCTTGTCCAGAGTGCGATCAATCACAATGTATTTTTTAAAGATATTTAGATGTAATTGATGAGAACTTTTAACCACACTATGCAGTTATCTCCTAGTCTAGTAATTAATTTCTTCCTAAACAAGGAGTACGATCAGAAAGTAGATAGGCGTCACAGCTGCCCCTGTTGAAATCACTGGACTTTTGTATCTATGGGGCATCTGTCTGAAGCTTTTGTATTTACGGGGCTCCTGTCTGAAGCTTTCCATGCAGTGGTGTACAGTCATTTTCAGAACCTGCTTTTGATGCAGATACTGTCAGATTATGTCATATTCATTTTACAATTAGAGAAATTAGGATATGAAAACAGACATGGGGCATCCTATCTGGAACATCTGCATCCTAGAGAGCACAATAAAAACTATCCTTCCAGTCTGTTTGCTTCTGGAGCAAAGATTGCATAGCAATCCAGGAAAGAGCCACCACAGTGGGAGCAGAGTTGAGGGGACATCCCAAAGGGCTCAGTAATCTTTCATAAATGCATCCTTTCGTGCTCATCCTCTCAAGCAGTCTTGAGCTATCCCTCCACCATGTGGGCTCTGGGGCTGCGTCTGGGCTATTTAGGTGAACAAATGCCAGGCTTCACCATACATCTTGTGATCTCTTTTTATTTCTAGGCAGCACAAGCACCCGAAACAGCAGTCAAAAAGGAAGCAGTGTTTTGAGTATTAAGCAAAAAAGCAAAAGGGAACTTTATATGGAAAAGTTTCAAGAACATTTAATCAAAGCAAAAGCCTTTACCATAAAGAAGTGAGTCCATGAGAATATTTGGCTTGTGTGCTTTATCTTAGGGTTTGGGGCTTTATTATTTCCTGTGAACCAGGGGCAAAGAGCAGAGGAGTAACTTCTCATGTCACAAATGTTATGTGCATAAGGCAGAATGAAATTACCCCTTTCTGTCTTGTTTTTAAAAATCATTTTTCCATGTGATTCATTTTATATCCACTGCATTTATGCACATGCTTTTTCTATTTGAACAGAGCAAATGGGTCACTTCAATGGTTCATGGATGGTATTCTTAGGCATTATGGGGAAGTCCAGCCAAACTGAAAGGAATACAGTGTCAAAGCTGGAAGGGCCTTAGAGCTGCACTCTTATCCCGAGAAGGGGATGGAAGTGCATGGTGGAGAAATGCTTTGTCCAGGGTCATATGCCTGTTCCCAGGCAAACTGCACAGGTCCCTCCACCTGCTGGGGATGGAAGTGGTGCATAGGCCTGGGACTGCAGCGGGAGTGGAGCCCTGAACAGGAGCTCTGACAGCAGGAGAGCCAGCCGCACCCGAACATGGCGTTGAACCGAAGGCAGGTCTCAGAGCAAAGATAGGGCAAAGGCTAGACAAATGAGCAAGGGCCAAGAGGACACAGCATTTAGGCACAGAGCAAGGCACAGATAAAAGGCCAGGGCAGTATGTGGGAGCCAGGATGGACACAAGCCCTAAAACAGGAGGAGCAGGGGCTCGCACATTCAAACACACACGGACCAAGCACACCAAGTCTGAGCACCCTCCCTCATACATTCCCTCATTTAGTTCCCACCTTGGTCCTAGGCATCAGGCCTTGTTATCACTCCAGTTTTACAGATGATGAAACTAAACACAGAGAGTTACATAGCATGTTCATGGGTCTTGTAGGTGGTGAGCAATTGAATCAGGCTACAAACCCAGCACCTTGATCCCAGGGCATCATACCATTCTACTGTGCTTCAAGCAGGAGGAGAGGCTTACGGTGCCATCAGCAGAGAGGGCATCAGTACCTATCTTGGCAGTAAATGTATATACAATCTCTATTAGAGCAGGAGCCGCCCTCAGCGGGACTATCCTGAGGCTGAGAGGCTGGTGGGACCTGGCTGGGAAGGGGAATGCGGAGGAACGGCATGATGACAGTGTCTGGTCATTTCTGCCATCCTGCCCCTCCTGAAACAAGCGGGTTGGTGGGGGCTTTCTATTTTGCAGGACGCTGCAGATGTATGTGCCCATCAGACAGTTCTTTTACAACCTCATCCACCCGGACTATAGCGCTGTGACTGACGTGTATGTGCTCATGTTCCTGGCTGACACGGTGGACTTCATCATCATTGTCTTCGGCTTTTGGGCCTTTGGGGTAGGTTAGGGCAAAGGCCATAGCACCCACTCTGCTCCACGGTGATGGTGCTCTCCCCGTGAACTGTCTCTTGGGCATGAACTTGTTGTCTCTTCCCCAGAAACACTCAGCAGCCGCAGACATCACCTCTTCGCTGTCGGAGGACCAGGTCCCGGGGCCATTTTTGGTGATGGTCCTCATTCAGTTTGGAACCATGGTGGTGGACCGAGCCCTCTACCTTAGGAAGACTGTACTGGGAAAGGTCATCTTCCAGGTCATTCTTGTGTTCGGAATTCACTTCTGGATGTTCTTCATCTTACCTGGCGTGACTGAGAGGTAAGTTCTTCAGAAGCTGGAGACACCAGCCCACCTTTACGCAAATGTGTTTCCTGTGGTGACACTCACATGTATTGCACAGCAGAACTGCTGGCCGCAGGCAGAGCCTTGGCACAGCAGCACCACGAAGGTAGGAAAAGCTAAAGATTTGGATCCATAGTTAACTCAAATCCAAAGTGTGAACTGATTACTCAAAAATATTTTAATTAACTTTTATCCATATTTGTAGAAACAAGGTTTCTATAAATAAGAAAGGGAACAGCCTTAATGACCAGAGCAAACCTAGGGTCTTTGTGCTGGATTTCTCTCTACGCCTTAGCAGAGGTGGAGGTAAAGTGGAATGTGGTCTCTGGGACATTTTTGAAAAGGAGAGAGGGCATAAGACGAAGTCATTCGAGAAATAGATGAATAATTGGAGGCTGCTTACTGGACAGAAGAAAAGATAAAGGAAGAGCATCGAGGAGCAGATGATAGTCTCCATACAGGAGACTGGTGGGGGTCAATTGCAGCAGGGTTTGAAAGCACCTAGCAATGTTTCAGCTTACAGTGAAAGAAGCAGGTGGACCCATCCTGCCAGACGCTGCTGCTGTTAATACAGTGCCACTGACCCGGGCAGCCTGAAGCTGTCAGGAAAGGGCTGGTGAGATCCTTCAGAGTGGCTGCTGTGCTCCCCTCTGTCACCTAGAGCCCTAAGGAAAGGTGTTGACCTTCTGTTCCGCAGTGTGCCTGGCATCTCCAAGCTCTGCCCCCTCCCCTTCTTCTCCCCAGCCTCCAACCCAAAGTCTACTTCCTCCTTACTCTCTAGATCTCTGTTCAGATGACACTTCTCTGCGGAAGGTCTCCCACCCCACGCCTCCAGGCAAAACAGTGCTTGAGACTGTTGGTGCTAATTTCATGAACAAATGATCCAGTCAGTTTGGCAAAGAAAAACAAAATGGAGTTTTATAAATGGGGAATATCAGCTCTGTCAGGTCATGAAAGAAAAGGCTCTGCAGAAGGTGAATGTGGCCTTGTCCGTATGATGTAGTAGGAACAGGAATTTTTAATAAGCATATCTGATTTTATATATGCAAGCAAACTGTAACTCTTCGTCACTGGTCTGGAGAGCCACGTACCTAATCCAACGAAGTTGTCATCATCTGCTCTGACTCTGAAAACCTCTGCAACTGCACTCCCAGACTGTGACATGCTAGTTTTTTTTAAATTACTTATTTATTGCTTTTAGGGACAAAATCTTACTCTGTCACCGAGGCTAGAGTGCAGTGGTATGATCATAGCTCACTGCAACCTCAAACGCCTGAGCTCAGAAAATCCTCCTGCCTCAGCCTCCAGAGCAGCTGGAGATACAGGTGCACACTACCACACCTGACTATTTTTTATTTTTATTTTTTTTACTTTTGGTAGAGATGAGGTCTTACTATGTTACTCAGACTGGTCTCAAATGCCTGGCCGCAAGCAATCCTCCTGCCTGGGCCTCCCAAACAGGGAGGAGAGGGGAAGGGAGGGAGAAAGGGAGGGAGGAAGAAAGGGAAGAGACAAATCCAAAATATGGCACCAAAAGAAATATGCTGCTTGTATCAAAACCTTTAAGTGTGGCTCTTAAGTTTGAGGACAGAGAAGCTTATAACAAACTTTCACCAAGGCAAAAGTTTTCCTTTTATTTCCTTTTTAAAATTTTCACTGACCATATTCAAGACATTTCCAGAATGCTGCATTTATCTAAAGTTTAAAGTGGTCCTACAGTTCATCATTCTTTAAAACTGTATTCTAAATTTTTTTTCTAGTGTGAAATTTAATTCTACTAAACTTTTTTCAAACTTGTGCTAGCAGTCATGAACTGTACAACACTACCTGTCTCTTCACTCTCTGTTCACTTGGAGAAGAGACTACCGTCTGTATTGTTGAGGAGATCATTAAAAATAAATAAAGGTTAGGGCATGGAGTTCTAGATTTGCAGAACTAGGAAGAATTGTCAGTTAAAGACACTGACGTCTTGAGAAATGATGGCTTGGGAAATAAACCCCATAACATATAGACAGAACGGGAACCAAATCCAGGTGTCTGCAGGGTTTGTCAATCCATTATCTATTTTTATAATGTGTAGTAAAAAGAGATTGAGAGTCCACCTATCAGAATTGTTTCTCCTGCATATTCCAAATTATGAATCTCTTAAGTAAATATACATATGTGTTTATATATATGTTTATAAAAACATACATCACGTATATAGTTTTTCTTTTTTCTTACAGGAGTGTAATTTGGAGTATGGTAGCTGCATCATCTACATAGTGAGAAAATATTTATCAGTAAATTCACTTAATAATTTATTTTAACTATGGCTGAAACAATGGAATAAGACACATTGGAGGAACTATTCAAAGGAAATTGTTTTTATTACTGAATTTTTTATCTCACTTTTTGCCTTTGAAGTGATCCACGATGTATAGACAATTCATTAGAATTGGACCTGAGTGATGAAGGAGAAATTCTGTTGGCTTGTTTTAACTCGATACTGCCGTCCTTTTGTTGCAGATGGGTATTTCTTTTCTTCACTTTCTGCATTTTTACATTTTAGGAAATTCAGCCAGAACCTGGTTGCCCAGCTTTGGTACTTTGTGAAGTGCGTTTACTTTGGGTTGTCTGCTTACCAGATCCGTTGCGGCTACCCAACGCGAGTCCTGGGGAACTTCCTCACCAAGAGCTACAATTATGTCAACCTCTTCTTATTCCAAGGGTAGGGACACTGCATTGTCACAGTCACTTGTAGGCGGAAGAACAGCCATGGAAAGGCATTTTATTTCCCATCTGGGAAGGACGGGGGAGAGGACAAATCCAGCAGTGTGAAGCATTGCAGAACTCTTAAAATGTTGGCAAAACTCTTTCTGTTTCTAATTGTCACACGCCTCCTCAGCACCAGACGGAAGAGGTGTTGAGTGCCTTCAGATGCTGTGAAGCGCTGTGTGTGGAATAGTGTTTCATGCAGTGCCAGGCTGGGACTGGGCCTGATGTTTCTTCCGAGGACTGGATTTATATTCACTTGATAGCGCTGAGGCAGCCTAGGGGAGAGTTTCTGAGTGGCAATCCACACTGCTGTGAGAGCTCTGGGAGAACCCAGGTTCTCCAGGCTGGGAGAAGCTCTGTGTCAGTCAAGAGACAAGGAACATTCTTTAGAGCCTGGGGGAGCCCAGCCCAACCCCTCCTGAGACAAAGCTGAACCACAGAGGCTGAGCCAACACCATCACCCTGGTACTCCAGCAAGTCCTACAGCTGAGGAACCTCACACCCTGGCTCCCCACAACCCCTCCTCCTCCCTTTGCCTCTATCCATTTGCCCTCATCTTTAACCTACCAGATGCACCGCCCCTACTAATTCATCCAACAGCAGAGGCCCAGTCATTCAGCACCCCATGGCCAACAGAGTCTTGTAATATGAACAAATAAATGTGAAAGAAGCTGAGTCACCTTCACATTTATTTAAAAGGGAGATCCCAGTTGGTTATGATCATCAGGGAAAAGGAAAACAATGAAAAAGATACAAATCTGTAGATTAGACTTATAATGAAAAGCAGTTGTGTTCCAAGTGGGGTTTTACAGAAGGGTCACCTGGATAATTTTTCCTGAGGCATGGGCTTAAAGCAGTAAGGAACTGCTTGCGTTCCCGGGTCAGCAGGGTGGCGGGGGCCACCCACAAATGTCTCTCTGACAAGATGTGTTTCCTGCCAGGTTTCGCCTCGTGCCCTTTTTGACTGAGCTGAGGGCAGTGATGGACTGGGTGTGGACAGACACGACCTTGAGCCTGTCCAGCTGGATCTGTGTGGAGGACATCTATGCCCACATATTCATCCTGAAGTGTTGGCGTGAGTCGGAGAAGGTAGGAAGCCAGGAGGAGTGCCTTATTCCTGTTTGCTTCTCTTAGATACAGGCTGGTTATGAATGCCAAATGAATGAAGGCATGGCGCAAAAACTACCACAACCTATAAATGTCCCAGTGATTTCCACCCATTAGATCTGGGAATTTTAGACTTACTGCCAGCATAGTCATCAATAGCATCCAGATGTTTTCTTCTTTTGGCAACTTCATATTGTAGTGATTTTTTAATATTAATGATATATTGCTTGACATATCCCAACAACTCTTAAATGGCTCATTTGGGAGCAGAAAGGAATGTGATGTTGCAGAGAAAAATGGGGTTGGTGGTGGCTTGGATTTATGCTTACTTCTGAATCTTTGATGAGGGATGGACAGTTTAACCTCTTTGTGCAAAGAAAATTGAAGTGCAAATATCTGCTTATTCTGCTAGGCTGAATATTAAGGTTTAAATATGTCTAGATTACTATTATTTATTGGACTTTCAAAAGTTTAATATATGAAAGAAGAGTCTGTTGCATAAGAGCAATGGAAATACCCAACAAACATTAGCTAGGGTGGTATGAAATGCCCTTCTTTCTCATCTCAAAATACCCTCCTTGAAAAAGGCCGCTCTGTATGATTCCTGGTATGTTCTGCAGCTTTCCTGGGAATTTCAGCATTACAGTCATGGAGCCTGTTGTACTATGGTCTCCGTGTTTGCAGAGTGAGGGAGATGGGCCTGGCAGTATACTTAAAATCATATTTGCGAGTCCTGATTTCTAAGGAGCAGAAGAGTTGACAGGACACCAGAATATGAGAGCCTCTCTGCCAAAGGGAAATTGAGGGTAGCAACTAGGGTGACAAAGGATCTGGAAACATGAGAAAAAGTAGGAAGAACTAAGGATTGTTTGGTCTAAAGTAGAAAAAATCTAGGGGTATGCGTGCAGAAAAAGTAGATGTTTTTAACAATTTGAAATGTTGAAAAGAGTTGAGAAATTGAAATTAGTTTGTGGGACTTAAGAAAAACAGAATTAAGACAAGTAGGCAAAAGCTTCAGTATGTTTCAATGGAATATGAAGAATTTGAACAATCAAAGCTACCCCAAAGTACATGCAAAGAATCACACAGAGGAGACTTGTCATGAAACCTCTGCCCTAGGTCTACTTCAGACCCGGCCGTCACTCATTCAGCAGATATATCCGTTGTCTGTTGTTGCTAACAAACTACCTCCAAATACAGTGGTTTAAAAAAACAGACCTTTTATTGTGGCACATATACACCATGGAATACTATGCGGCCATAAAAAAGAATGAGATCATGTCTTTTGCAGGGACATGGATGAAGCTAGAAGCCATCATTCTCAGCAAACTAAAACAGGAACAGAAAACCAAACACCGCATGTACTCACTTATAAGTGGGAGTTGAACAAGAACACATGGACACAGGGAGGGGAACATCACACGCCGGGGCCTGTCAGGGTGTGGGGCACAAGGGGAGGGAGAACAGCAGGACAAATACCTAATGCATGCGGGGCTTAAAACCTAGATGACAGGTTGATGGGTGCAGCAAACTACCGTGGCACATGTATACCTATGTAACAAACCTGCACATTCTGCACATGTATCCTGGAACTTAAAGTAAAATAAACAAAACAAAAAACCAACCATTTTATTTGCTCACAATTACGTGGGTCAGCAGTTTGGGCCAGGCTCCAATGGACAGTCTTGCCTGGAGTCAGTCCTGTGGCTGCCATCATCTGGTGGCCCAATTGGGTGTTACTCGTTGGCATCACTCAGATGCCTGCAGGTTGCATCTAGCTAGGCCTCTCTCCATGTATTCGCTCATCCTTAGGGAGGCAAGTCCAGGCTTCTTCCCCTGGTGGCAGCACATTCCCAGAGAAAGAGAGGGAAACCTGCAAAGTCTGATGAGGACTAGGCCCAGAGTTCTGCCACCAGTACTTCCACCACATTCTACTACTTCGAGCATGTTTAAGGGCCAGCCTAGATCCAAAGGAATGGAGAAACTGATGGGGTTGGTAAAGTCATGTTGCAAAGGGTCATGCATACAGGAATGAGGTGAATTTGAGACCTTCATTTTTGCAGCCTACCATAAACATTGACTAAGCACATTCTTACGTGCCCAGAACTCTGCTAAGCATAAGAGTAGAGTGGTGACCCAGACATACAATGCCCCACCATCATGGAACTGATGGCTTAGTGGATGGAAACAGGTGTTAATAAAATGGTGACGCAAGCTGAATGATGAACACACATGGACACATGGGATGGAACAACACACACTGGGGCCTGCCACGGGTTGTGGGGTGGGAGGAGGGAGAGCACCTGGAAGAATAGTTAATGGACACTGGGCTTAATACCTAGGTGATGGAATGACATGTGCAGCAAACCACCATGGCACATGTTTACCTATGTAACAAACTTGCACATTCTGCGCATGTATCCCTGAACTTAAAATAAAAGGTAGAGAAATCTAAAATGATGACGCAAAGAAATGCGCTATTTATGACAATGCTTTCACAGAGGAGCACATGATACTTTGGGAGCATCAGGAAGGTGGGGTGTGGGTCTCAAACAGAGAGCTAATGAAGAGTATAAGTTGACCGGGTACAGGGCAAGAATCTACATTTTTATTTTTGTTCCTGGGTCCTTTGCCCTGACCCTTGTCTCCGCTCCTCCACTCTTACAGGGAGTGATTCAGTGGCTCTTTTGCCATCCATTTAATAAAGACCATATCTTTATTTGCAAGGCCTTGACACATCTTTGCACTGTCTGAAACATCCTGCTCACCTCCTCACTACCTAACTCCTTCCCAGCCTCCAGATACCAAGGTAGACACCTCTGTTTCCATGGACCTGTCCTAACCCCTCAAGTCTAGACCCCATCTTTCACTATGGGCCCCAACAACCCTCTAAATTCAGTCCATCTAGTACTTAACACATTGGGGCTTGTTGTCTCTTTATTTTTGTCTATATTATGGGCTCTGTGATGATAAGCTCAGTGTCTGTTCATCCATATATTGCCTAGGAATCACTGAATACTTTGAGCCTAGACATGCAATAAATGTTAGTTGAACAACAACAAAAAATAGTTAGTTATTTACAAATGCACATATCTCAGTGCCTCCCTGTGCTGTCCTGGCTACCTGAAATAGATCCACCCATCTTCTCCTGTCTCTGGCTCTCTGGAGCTTAATCTACTGACTCTTTCCTGGTTTACCTCCTACCCTACTCTGCTATCCTCATCTATTCATTCTTTCCACATTTTAAGACCCAGAGACAGAAGAGAAATTCAAGAAGCCAAATATGCAGAGTTTGAGATACGTGAATACTGAGAATAGATGTTGAATCTTATATTCACTGGATAGCTGGTGATCTTTGCACGGTCAGTTTCAAAGGTAGGATGGGCGCTGACACCAACACCCAGCTGCAGGGACTTAGGAGCTCACAAGAGGCAGCGTCTTGGAGGAACCAAGCCCAAGCAAGGGCATGGACAGAGAGAGAGAATTCAAAAGAGAAGCAAGCCCAGAGGATAATTTCAAAATGGAGAGTGTTTGGACCTCTGTAGATGGTAAGGAAAGGCCCAGAAGAAAAAAGTAAAAATTTCTAGTATCAGAGGAAGTTCCAACGGGGGTATGGAGATTGTAGAGTCAGAGGTATGAGTGAGCAAGTCAGTTGTGGCAAAGAGCTATCACCATCCCGCAGAAAGCACGAGGAGGAGAGGCCAGCAAGGAGCAATCCTGTGCCCGCAGCCTGTGTTCTCCGTAAGATGGGTGAGCTCCTCTACCAGGAGGACGAGAAGATGAGGCCCTTTAAGTACAAGAGCTCCCAGAAGGCTGGGGAAACTGACAGTGAGACACCGTTTCACTTGGGTGAACAGGTGGTGCTTAGGAACAGGGCTTCTGAATCAAAAACCCCTGAATGATCCTACCCAGTGTGACCATCTGCATGGATGCAAGGTCTTGTTTCTTGGAAGAAGGGGCAGCTCCCCTGCTCTTCAGCTCACATGTGCCATTCCCCACCTTGGAGCCACCAGCTGACATTTTTCACACTGTCATGACGTGGTTGCAGCCACCACCTTGCCTCCCACTGAGGGAAAGCTCATTCTGGCCTGTAACTTGAGGCATTTCTGCCAACAAAGACTTAAATTATCTTTTTATTTCATTTTTAAGAAATAAAAAGCCTCATTTAAATATATCACAACTACTTAAGTATATCCTTCCATTCTATGCAAAACCAATATCTACTTCAGGATATTAGCCTTTGAAATCATCCATGGCAAAACTTCCTGAGACATTTAGGGAAGTGAGAGGTGATACTGGGGAGTGTGAATGAATCTGGCACTGGTTAGTACTAGTCTGAAACATTGCTAGTATTGTCTGGAATGAAGTGGAATAATAAGCTGCTCTTAATAGTAGCTGTCCTTGGGTATAATTCTACATTGAATGTCACACACTGCAAGGGCTTTACAAACACACTTTATGAAGCAAAAGCAATAACCTGAAAGGCGAAATGCTGGTGTGAGCACACACAGTGCAGGCCACTCACTCTTATTCTGCTTATACTAGAAATTCCATGCATCACTTTCCAGAACATTTCAGGAAGCTGATTGGAAGTGCAGTGCAACAGGAGCACCAAGTGGAAGCATAGTGAGGAGTTGAGTTCCCCGTGGCTACAGCGAGCCATGATCATGACACTGCACTGTGGTCTGGGGTGTAGAGCAAGACACTATCTCAAAAATAAAAAATAAAGAGTTAAATGGCCTACGAAAGGGGTGATGGAGCAGTGCAGGATGGGAAGGGGACAATGCCTCTGAAAAGGAGAGGAGGGCCGGGTACCCTGGCTCACGCCTATAATCCCAGCACTTTGGGAATCTGAGGCAGACAGATCACTTGAGGTCAGGAGTTTGAGACCAGCCTGGCCAACATTGTGAAACCATGTCTGTACTAAAACTACAAAAATATTAGGTGGGCATGGTGGTGCGTGCCTAGAGTCCCAGCTACTTTGGAGGCTGAGGCATGAGAATCGCTTAAATCCGGGTTGCAGAGGCCGCATTGAGCTAAGATCACACTACTGCACTCCAGCCTGAGCAACAGAGTGAGAATCCATCTCAATTTAAAAAAAAAGAAATGAAATGAAAGGGAGGGGAAATTTGGCTTTATAATTTGAGTTGGGTCAAGAGGGCTTTGCCCTGTTCTGCCTGGGAAAAGCAGCGAGAGGGCTGAGCAGAAGGAGAGAGGAGCCTCTGGGTGTTTTTGAGATAAGCCTCAAAGAGACTGACCCAGGAGAGGAACTGACATGGTCCCACTTCAGGTGGAACAGAGTAAAACCGTCCTTGGCAGAGATACATTGATCTTCTTTAACTTGCAAAACTCTCATGATGTAATGTGGGTGCTGCTGGAGCGAGAGGAGTGGCCTGTGATCTAAATTTGCCTCACTGAGAAAAAAATGAAAGAGCAAATCTATACACATCTGTTTGCATGTGTGTGTGTGTGTGTGTGTGTGTGTGTATTTGTGAATATGTATTTCAGATTTTTTAATGAGACCCTAGTCTTCTTTCAATATAGAAAATTGGGAAAAAATCAAAATACACTGCTACTTCTCTCTGTATTTGATGCTGTAGGAAATAGTTAACAGTATCAAATTCTAGTGCAAAAATATCAAAATGCTCTGCTACCATCTGAACTTTATGCAGTTTCCATAGTGCAAAACCACAGGGAGCATTACCTTAAGCACACTGAGTGCGGAGTGCACTGGCCCTGGCTCAGCACCCGGTCAAGCCTCCATTCTCCTGTTTCCAGCACCATCTTTGGCACTCAGTGTCCAGGCTTGAAAGCTACTGCATTCATGTGCTGTGTTGATTCCCAGGCCTCTCTCTTGGTTTGTAACCTACAGCTGGTGCCTATGCATAAATGATAGATTATTATCCCTTACCTTAATCTGCTGAAATGAATGGATCTCTCCTGAAGATAAATCACAATGCAAAGTTGGGGAGTAGGTTGACCCTATGTTCTGCATATAGCTTGGCCTGAGGGGTAACCCTGAGAGGACAGAAGGTCATAGAGCAGCAACACTGAAGTAAGGAACACACATGTAGACCAGAAGCAGGCTCAATGCCAGACAGCACAGCTCCAACTTCCACTTGTCCATAGACTCTAGGCAGGGGGCATAGTGGGTCCTTCGTGAATGTGTATTAAAGCAAACAGGAGCACACCCAGCCTTACCGGTGCATGGGCTCCTGTAAGAGAGCAAGCGCCTGCAACACGCACCTGCCCCCCCACACCCACTCCCTGCAGCCAGCGTCCAGAGGGGACACTTCTAATCATACAAATCTTACTTTAAAAATAGAACATCATTGCCTTTAACAACACGTATAGGCTGAGCGCGGTGGTTCATGCCTGTAATCCTAGCACTTTGGGAGGCCAAGGTGGGTGGATCACCTGAGGTCAGGAGTTCAAGACCAGCCTGGCCATCATGGTGAAACCCCATCTTAAAAAAAAAAAAAAAAACCATGTGTCGTAGATTAAATTAAAAATCATGTTTTTCTAGCCTCCAAGGGCAGGAAGGGATCAACTGAAAGGCACAGATTTTAAATATTCAGGAATTGAAAGTAAAATATCTTTCTCTCACATAATCCCTTAAAACCAGAAGGTTCATTCGCTCAGATATTTGATCCCTTGGTCCATGAGTTCATCACCAGCAAAACTCACCCACAGTCTTGAAGGGAGAAGGCCCCTCGAGTTCTGCTGGTTCCTGTGGAACCATCAGGGGGTACATGGAGCGAGCTCAGGAGAGCATCACATCACTACCTAACTTCATTTTGAGGTTGGGACAAGGTTACTATCCCCATTACAGAGCAAACAGAAAAAATTTAGGGCCAAATCCATGTTCCCAGCACCTCAGGAAGAGCACTCGCCCTCCCCCAATCCCACTGCCTGCAGGGACGGTGCCTGAGCCTGAGCCTGAGCCTTGTCTGAACTCTCTGTTGCAGAGATATCCTCAGCCGCGGGGCCAGAAGAAGAAGAAAGTGGTGAAGTATGGCATGGGAGGAATGATCATCGTCCTGCTCATCTGCATCGTCTGGTTTCCTCTTCTCTTCATGTCTTTGATCAAATCCGTGGCTGGGGTCATCAACCAGCCCCTGGACGTCTCTGTCACAATTACCCTGGGAGGGTATCAGGTGATCTCCGTGCACACCCACCTACCAGAGCCTTGCCCGCACCGCCCTCCTTTATGATAACTGCCTGTAGGGTATTTAGTTATGGGCTGCTGACCTCGCTATCCTATCTACATCTTGACTGCTCAGCAAATGTGCAATGTATGAAATGAGGAGATGTTGAGAGAATAGTTCCCCTCTGGTCTTGAGCACCGGAATAATCACTCCAAAAAGAGACCTCAGATGCTATTTGTCATGGGATAAACATATCCTACAAAAATGGGCAATATCCTACATAAATGTTTTTCTTTTGACTCAGGATGCAGAGAAGAGCTGGGGAATATTGACAACACTGTTCTCTTTGTTTTCCAGCCTATTTTCACAATGAGTGCCCAACAAAGCCAGCTGAAAGTTATGGACCAGCAGAACTTTAATAAATTTATACGAGCTTTTTCCAGGGACACCGTAAGTAAATCCCTGTAGTAGGTCTCCATGAAGACCTGTCATCTAGATGAGCTCACTGGTTGTCATCTCATTTGATACTTTCCCATGGCCTGAAGTGGTGGGAAGGAGGACATTTCAGGGTTTATCAGTTACATACAGCAGATTCCTGGCCACTGGCTACTTCGATAATCCAAGAAGTTATGTCTCTGTTATTGGACATTAGTGGTAGTAAACATTTAAATATTGGTCCATTTTTTAAATTGTTTAACTTTTTAAATTGTGGTATATATTGATCTCTTGACTAGTAGGACTACTCTGGGAATCTATCCAAAGAAGTACTTCAAAATATGAGAAAGCTCTATCTAGGCACCTACTTATAAGTGCATTCTCTGTATTAGCAGAACTGGAAGCAATTTGAGGCTCACCAAACAGGAGCTGGTTAAGGAAATTAAGATAGATGAATTAAATGAATTTGATTAGTACTGGATACCCTTGAGTGGTCATAATGGGAGAAGGGGATTCCATTTTCCATTTTATTTACGTGTCATGTTGTCCAAAGATTTTCCAAGCAACTTATTTTGTAATTAAAAAAAAATTACAGAGACCATAAATGACATGACAATTTCTCAAGCTTAAACATAAATTAAAAAGAGGCTATTATATTTTAAATTATAAAACATAAGAAATACATCCCCCACCACATAAAACAATGTTGATGTTCTGGTGGCAAGTTGTGGCTGATGTTGTTCTCTTGTCTATATTCCACACTTTTCATAAGAAAACATCATCCTCATCATTACCATTTCTCTTACAATTTTTTTTTTTTATTTACGAGAGTGAACAGGTAAGGAGACGCTTCTCTCTTCTGTAAAATTATCACCTATAAAGCACACTGTCAAAACTAATCTTGAACGATGAGCAACTCTTCAGAGAGCATTGGGATGTTCGGGGCAGATTAAGTTTTGTCTCTGTCATAAAAGGGATGTTTCCCCATAGGTGATAACATTTCCTTTTTGGTGTAAAGGAAAAATCACACTAAATTTTCTGTTTTTCCTTTATTGTTTAACTGGAATGACTCCGTAGCTGTATTGCTGGTAGCAACCACTGGGTTGGGCAGTGTAAATGGAAACTGTCCGTACCTGTGGATAAGGAAGCTGAATTATTGCAGTGGAACACTCAAGACCATCCATTTTATATATATATATATATATATATATATATATATATATATATATATATAGATCCCTTCAAAGAGAGAAACTTCTTCCATACTGCCAGTTAAAAGGAAGAGTAACTGCTTGCTTTATACAGCATGATGCGTATAATCTATTTATGCATGTGAATTTGTGCACATACAGGGTGCTATGCAATTTCTGGAAAATTATGAAAAAGAAGACATAACAGTAGCAGAACTGGAAGGAAACTCAAATTCTTTGTGGACCATCAGCCCACCCAGTAAGGAGAAAATGATACACGAACTCCTGGACCCCAATAGTAGCTTCTCTGTCGTTTTTTCGTGGAGTATTCAAAGGTAGTTACTGTATTTCCATGCTTAATTTCTCCCTTTCCCCAGTCTAAACTTGGAGTTGGGGTGGAGGGTGTGGTGGGATGGAAGAATGGAAACTTGAGATAAACATGGATCTTGCTTTGTCATTACAGCCTTGGGAACTTACCTTCAATGCCAAAGCTAACATTTTTGTTTATTAAATAATGGCTTGCCCAGGAATCACCAACCAGACTAAGAACTTCTCAGTTTCCCTTTTTTGTTGTTTTTAGCTAACTTTAGCATTTTGGTTTTGGGTTTTTTTGTTGTTGTTGTTTGTTTTGCATTTCAAAATCCACTGAATTTTATTACCTTAATGTACAATTGGTGAAACAATTAACGTTTAAATTTCAAATGGTTCTCTTACTATAATGCAAAAGAGTATTGCTCTAACACCTCCCTTGTGTGCATCACTTACAGTACTATTATAAATCTACCACAGGGAGCCTCTCCACTTAAATGTTCCTCATGTGTCTTACATTTTACTGTCCGTAATCTTCCATGGAAAAGGTAGTGAGTGATGCTCACCTGAGACAGAAGGGCCTCTCCTAGCTCGGATGCAGCAAGAATTGACCATGTGCCTTCACATGAACACTAGAAATGAAGACAGATTTCTAGTAGTTTGAAAGCTGATTTAAATTAATATGTGGTTTTTAGAAAATCTAAAATTGTTTCAATGCAAAAAAAGAATTTGAATGTAAGGCTCCAAAAAATCAACATCCTGCTTCTTATAAACTGAAATCCAAATAAATTATCTATTTTAATGTTGGATTATTCTAGGTAATAACTTTAGTTTTTAAAGAGAGGCTAGCAGTGAGTTCTGCGAGCAAGGAAGAGAGGTAGAGAGACGCGAGGCAAGGTGATGATTTACAAAATGAAACAGTCTGGGCGAAATTTTACAATTTTCACGAAACGCTGAAGTTTCATCTTAATAACAAAGAAATTTCAGGCCAGGTGTGGTGGCTCACACCTGTAATCCTAGCACTTTGGGAGGCCAAGGCGGGCGGATGACTTGAGGCCAGGAGTTTGAGACCAGCCTGGTCAACATGGCGAAACTCTGTCTCTACTAAAAATACAAAAATTAGCCCAGAGGTAGTAGCACATGCTATAATCCCAGCTACTTAGGAGGCGGAGGCAGGAGAATCACTTCAACCTGGGAGGCGGAGGTTGCAGCAAACCAAGATCACACCACTGCACTATAGCCTGAGCAACAGAGAAAGAGTTCATCAAAAGAGAAAGAAACAGAAAGAAAGAAAGAGAGAGAGAGGAAAGAGAAAGAAAAAAGAAAAAGAAAGGAAGGGAAGGAAGGAAGGAAGGAAGCAAAGAAAGGAAAGAAAGAAAGAGAGAGAGAGAGAAATAAAGAAATTAATTGCACCCTCTGGAGGCCCTGATTATCACTTGCATTCCACCAGTGTTGGGGAAACCCTACCTGACCCTCTCTCCAAGTGTGACATGAGAGGGCAGCTTGGCTGTCTCCAAAGGCGGAGACTTCCTGAGGGTCCTGCCTGCCCAGGCTGAGCCAGAGGCCCCTGCTTTGTTTTTCCTTGGGTTGGTAGAAAGATCATATCTTAGCAGAAGTTCTTACATCCAAATACTCCAACCAAAGCCCAACAGGTTAGTGATGCAGTTTTGGGAACCTCAACATAATACACTAGTTGATTAGCTTAGTTCTTTCATTACAGTTTTGAGATTTAGGACTCTAAGCAAGCTTATTTGGGTAGGCAGTAGTAGATTCATTTGGGTCTATGAGACCAGACCAGCTTTTTAGTTAGAATTAAGAAAGAAGTGTGATAGATGCAGAAGAATGCCTTCTAGAATCTAAAATGTACAAGGAAATAGTAAAAAAAAAAAAAAAAAAAGAAATAGTAAAAAAAAAAAAAAAAAAAGGAAACCAAAGTGGGGCTGTTTTCAATCTCACTTTCTCCTTTTAAGTGTCCCAAATTCCTCATCTCCAATTCTGCACAGAATTAGAGCTACCAAAACAACAACAACAACAAAACAATTAAAATTCAAATTCTGATTGAATATTCCTTTTAACACATAGAGTCTGTTTCTTGTCGTGAAGACTAACATCATTGGGTTAATAAAGTAGTATTTTAGAAACTCATATTAAAACATCAAGATGGGAGGCAGCAGGCAGCTCCTCTTTCTCACCTTCAACTCTGTTTTAAAAGTGTTTGTAGCCTCCCTGGGTTCTATTAACTTGATTGTCTAAGAAGCTGAGCATTGAGGTGAAATGGACTGAAAAGGTCGAAACTGACAATTGTAGACCCAATGAAAACTTGGTGAAATTAATCAAATTAAGAGTTAAATATGTTGTAAATCTCTTTTCTAGACTTCTGAATAATATTGAGCTTTTTTTTTTCTTCTTCACAGAAACTTAAGTCTCGGTGCAAAAGCGGAAATAGCAACAGATAAGCTTTCTTTTACTCTTCAAAATAGTACTCGAAAGAACATTGCTAAAATGATAGCAGGCAACAACACAGAAAGTTCAAAAACACCAGTGTAAGTTTATTTTTCCTGTTTAAAATAGAGTTTTGTTAGGTATATGCAGCTGGTACAAAATGTCCATCTACCGATTCATGTGTATGAATAATACAACTTCATTATTTGGTAACACAAAGTGAATTTCTATTTGGAGGCTTCATTTTGCAAGATTGAAGAAACTTAATCTCAGCTGTTGAGTTTTCTGTCCACTGTCCCCAGGGTTTGGGCCAGGCATGGTGGCTCATGCCTATAATTCCAGTACTTTGGGAGGCTGAGATGGGTATATCACCTGAGGTCAGGAGTTCAAGACCAGCCAGGCCAACATGGTGAAATCCTGTCTCTACTAAAAATACAAAAATTAGCTGGGCATGGTGGTACATGTCCCTGTAATCCCAGCCACTTGGGAGGCTGAGGTACGAAAATCACTTGAACCCAGGAGGTAGAGGTTGCAGTGAGCCTAGATTGCACCACTGCACTCCAGCCTGGGCTACAGAGCAAGACTCCGTCTCAAAAATAAATAAATAAATAAATAAATAAATAAATAAATAAATAAATGAGGGTTTGTATGGTGCCAGGCTCCAGGAAGCTCATCAGGGCATAAAAAGTGCTGGCCCACTGGGCTTCCATTGAGAGAGACATGATTCTTCCAGGTCTGTCTTAAGTCTGCAGAGTGGCTCTCTCCCTTAGCTATTGAGACCCATTTTGGGGCACACTAATAATCGTCGTGCTGATTCTCATGCCATTTGGAGGTATGGGAGCTCTGGCAGGTCCACCTGGGTTCACTTGACCCAACATGTGACCAGTAGTGCCCCATTCTCCCTGCCCCAAGGGGTACTGGGCTCTTGCTGCCTCCAAGGTCCCTACTCAGGAATGGGACATAGGACTGCACTAAAATGACCCAGACATCTTGTCATTCATACGTCTGCCACCTGATCATGGGTACCCACTTCACCTGTCCACCCTCAGTTGAAGGAGGTGGGACTCAAGTTTCCTTCTTAGGAAGCCACTAGTGTCAAGCACATTCTCCTCCCACTCTCTGTCCACCTGGCACAGAAAGAATTGATCACATCTCTGAATAGCAAATCTTGCTCTTATCTGACCGTAAATCACCGAAAGCCAGGCAAAGACCCTCTGAGACCATTTTCTACTATTAGTCTTGCCCCTGGGTCTCTGAATGGTGGTAGAGAGTAGAGGGTTAAAGAGGACAGGGATAAAAGAAAATTTGGAGGCCGGGCGCGGTGGCTCAAGCCTGTAATCCCAGCACTTTGGGAGGCCGAGGCGGGTGGATCACGAGGTCAAGAGATCGAGACCATCCTGGTCAACATGGTGAAACCCCG